ATTCCTGCCTGTCAGACCCCTGGATCTGTGCATGCACTGGCTCCAGCCACACCATCTGGAGCTGCTTGTCCTGCTGCACCGTGTTCAAATGGAAGAGTGTCCAAAACTCTTCAGGCACTCATCGACAACTCTGCAGTATCACAGCAACTTTGATTATGAACGATAAACCCTTGGAGAGCTATGTTGTCCATCACTGTGCTAATCTTCACACCTCTCACTTGGAGAATAAATACACAAACAGCTGCTGTCTTTAAGTTTAGAGCTATAGTATGTCCTCAGGACCCCAGCCAAGAGTAATGGCACTGGCCCTTGGGGCTTCAGACTCTGAGGAGAGGCAGATGATTACCACCCAAGAGACTTAAAGTTAAATCACCCTATCACTGGTCTGTCTTGCACTGCTTTGTTTTGTCATGCAGCTTGCTGATAGTCAACAGCAATGGTTTCTGTCACCGTCAGTAGTTTCCATTTGAAGTGCAGAATCCTGGTGAAGAGGATAAATCTGCTCTCCATCCTCTCTACGCCTCTTATCAGAGGCAGCCCGTGAGCTCCATGTCTCAGCAGCCCAATCATCTTGTCACTCAGTCAGTCAAATGGTACATGTCAGGGAGACTAAATTTATTCCCTCGAGAATTAAAGTCAGTAGTGGAATAACAGTTGAACAGTACCTTTCTATATTTCTCATTTAAAATACAGAAATGATACACCAGTTTCAATTCACTCCAAAGGAATCACTATGATTAGTGCATCTATGTGCAGGTGTGGTGAAATTTGACAATATCAAGGCGTCCACACAGCACTGCCCTTTGAAGGTACAGAGTCCAAAATGGAGAAGGCTATCAGAAGCATATTAGCTGTGCTGTTGCACCATTCACTGTAATTAATCCTCTATTGTCAGAAAAAGAACTCCGCTACAACAGAGGAATGGTTTTCAGAGAGTTATTACAGGAATGGTAATAAATAAGTCTTTGTGTAAAGCTGTTCTCATGTTAGGGGTCGAGTTTGGCTAACAGGTTTGCTAACTGAGCATTAGCAAACTTTATTTTGCCTCTGCTCTCTGTTTTTTATTGACCAGAATGGTGTACAGCAATTAACACAATGTAAGGAAGGAGTAAACAGGACAGGGCAGAGATATGTATGTGGTGTGACTGTGGGTCAATGGGCAGAGCGTTCATCTCCCAACCGGAGGGTTGGCGGTTCAAATCACAGTGCCAACAGTTCCACATGTCAAAGTGTCCTTGGGCAAAACAGTGAACCCCCAAGTTGCCCCGGATGGTTAGAGCCATCAGATAGATGGCTGCCTCGGAAACAGATTCATTGTGTGTGTAACATACTTGGTTAAATAAAGGTGATTATCCTTATTATTGTATTTTTATGATTTTCATCTTTTGATTTTTGTTACTTTTAGTCAACAAAAACTAAATATAGTCTAGTTTTTGTCATCTTTTTTGCCATTATGAGGCTCCAGCTGTTACCATATTTATTATGTAAAGTTGTCATGGTTACAGGTGTTGCTGTGAGGTTTGTGGTTGACTACCCACATTAATCGTGGAACCGATTTATTCTTTTTCATAGCAACACAAGGATATCTGATTGAAAGACTTAGTTCTTATTCACTGATGGAAATTGTAACATATTGCATCATAGTTCTTCCTACCATATGTTACTTTTGATTTAGTTTTGTTCTCATTATAAAAAATAGGTCAGTGAATGTTTCTCATCCTAGTTTTGGTTGACAAAATTAACACTCCACCAAATATACAGTATCACAGACATAGCGCTGTACCACTTAAAGCCTGACAGGATGAATTTAAAAACATTTGGCAGTACAGAGATAAATATCAATGAAGCTGCAAACAGTATATATGTTGTTTTTAACTTGATCTTACTCTCATTGCGTCATCATCTGGAGGCCTCCTGGCTGTGTGTACACACACAGTATCCTGTGGATGGATTGCATTTCTTAGGAAAAACCCTCTGTTTGTATGTGTAGTCTACATCGAGCTGTCGTCAGCATGCGTGCATACATGATCGCGTGCAAATGTTTTGAAGCATCTCTTGGATGTCATCTCAAGAGCAGATACAGGATCCCTCGTTTTGAGCTCCACCACCTTCCTCTTTCTTTTCTCCTTGTCGCACTCACCTCTGCAGGTTTCTGCTAATGTAATCACAGACCTCTCCAGCCCGGGAGCCAGAAGCCAGCACAGACGTACAAGTATTCTAAACTGGTTACATTAAATCAAACAGGCCATCTGTCTCCCCCTGTAATTGGACACTGTGGATTAGAAGGAGACGGCAGTGTTTCCCAGCTAAGTGGGCTCATTACTGTTTATTTGGAATTAATTACCAATGAGAGTGGGAACCTTGCAGCTCCCTGAGAGTGAGTCCAGACACTTGAGGCTGAGATGAGAGCAAGGGGAGTGCTGTATCAACACTATCGCAACAGAGCTGGGACAGAAACATGTCTTCCTCGTGTCTGAATCTGACATGATGATGCCGCTGGCGTGCTGGAGTTAGGTTAGAACAGAAGCTTTTACAGACTTCTCCGATTCAATCACCCTAAACTGAGACAGCGAATGAATGGACATCTTCAGCTGTGGTAAGGGGTATCCTGGTGTGATGCCATTAGCTGTGGATGCTTTCCAAGAGTTGAGTGAAAGGACAAGGATGTATATCTCCTAAGCCTGTGAGAACCGAGCATCCACCCTGGCACCAACATTTGAGCTTTTTCTTCTCACAAGGATCACTGTGTACATGACTAGAAATGTTGCACAGGCATGTTTTGATGAATGGAAAAAAATTAACCCACTACCACCAAGACTCCTTTAAAAGTTGCTCTTTTTATTGTATCTACTTAAAAAATGTTGGTGAATGGCCACATCACTGCATTTTTTTCACTATGCTAAATTTCAGTTTGCATGCAGTGAAATAAATGTACACGAGACAACGCAATAAATTAGCATATAATTTACATTAGGAAAAAAATTTGTAACAGTGTACCAACAATAATACTGAATATAAAATAGACGCAACTAATCACATGATGCTTTTTGTCTCTCTTGTACTTTAGGTATAACCAATGTGACATTCAAACATCCAAGTTCACAGCAATGACTACCAGTTTGATCAGTTTCACTTCTCTCTTTCTGGAGCTTCCATGTCCCACAGCCAGTAGATGGGTTTGTCCAAGCAGTTTTAAATGCTTCTCAGCATCCACTGTCCTTTCCCAGCCAATAAAATCTTCTCGACACTGTCACACTGAAGGTGGCTACAAAAAAGTAGCAGCAGCAGAATTAGAAATTAGTTGTTAAAAGCTTCGATGAGGTCCTTGCACAGTCCTCGTGGTCTGTCAGGTTTCTTTGACTCCTACTATATCTCGATAACAAGTCTGTGATGGAGACATTCCGTAAGTGTTGTTCCCTTTCACGCCAGGGTAAAGGGATCAGTTACAATGGGGTGAGTGTCCATTTTGTTGGTAGCACAAACATCAATACAAGGTTAACAATGAAACTTCCCAGTGTGAGGTATAAACAGATACAAACAAAACAACAACATGACCAGCATTTACCAACAGAGTTTTGACAAGGCTACTATTTGGATCCAGCCTCACTTGTAAGCACTGCAGAGCGCTGAATGGATGCGTCCACTTGTTAGCACCAGAAGCCTGGGAAGGCCGTAACCCTCAGAGCAGAGCAGGAGGAAAACAAGAGGTAAACACAGTACTCCATGGAAATCTTAAAAACTGTAAAAGAGGGGAAAGCACCAATGAGTTGGCTGTTTTTGTGTTTTCACTGAGGGACAAACAGGGGGTCTGAACCCCGGCTACATGATCTGGCAACAAAACCACAATGAATATGATGTGTGTTTACATTTAACAGTAGCCTCCTTTATTAAAGGGATATTTAGACAGTTTGGGAAATGCGCTTATTCACTTTCTTGCAGAGAGTTAGATGTGGAGATTGATGTCTGTTTGTAAATATGAAGCAACAGTCAGGAGATGGTTATCTTAGCCTAGCATAAAGACTAGAAACAGGAAGTCAGCTGACTTAGCACTAGTATGCATGTTCTGTGGGTCAAAAATGCAGAATCATGTGGAACATCCAGAATCTGGAAGCATGGAGGAGGAGTATGTGCCACTGACAACTTTCATAAGCATGAATAGGGTGCCATCTGAAAATCTGTTACAAAGGTTTTCTTAATACATCCATAGTTTCCAGTCTTCATGCTAAGCTAAGATAATGTTTCCTTGGGTCTTGCGTCTTACTGAGTGTCCAGACATGAGAGTGGTATACATCTTCCATCATTATCTTGGCGAAAAGAAAATAAGTACATTTCCCAAACTGTCAAAAGAAACTATTCTTTTAATTCTTATCAGTGCTGAAACCATGATGACCTTGACTTGTTGCTGAAATACAAAAATATGACACACTGAAAACAGCTACTGCACCGTGATTCCAACGAACAAGCTGCTTCACAGAATATACTCCTTCAAAACAAATCCTTCAATAGTGAACTGAAAGCTCCTTAGTGAGATGCTTAGCAAAGGCCACTTTGGTAACAGTGATTCATGTGGCACAGGCACCGTCAGAATACTTTGGACTAATGACTGACATTGGGTGAACTTTTATCTGGGAGTTGGAAAGGTAGGCAACCATCTGGGGAAAGAAAGGTGACTTAGGAATCCTCCTCATGGCATTTTCTGGTCCTGGATTAACAATTCATACAGAGTATACAAATTCTAACAGTATATAGGAGTTTAACGTATGTTACAGTATGCAATATTTTCATTCCAGCACAGAGACTTTGAAATTCAATCACATTCCCTTCCATGACAGTAGGCTACTATCTGATAAAAACATGATCAGAGGACCAATATCTCAGCTCTGTTTGGAAATATACAATAAATATACAGTACAGTGATGGGGTTTTGCTGTCAGATTTGAGCGGTAAATTGTATTTACAAGAAAAAGTGCACTGAAGCTAAAAGTCTGCCTGACAATAGCACCATCACAGTCGACCCAAAGACAGGAGTCCAACACTGTGAACTCCCATCCCCCTTCCCTGGTGAGGAGTCCTCCCCTCTGTTGGTCCGTCTCCGGGGTACATCCTCTCTGAGCAACGTGTCCAGCACTTTGGATTCATAAAACAACAAACACGGAGAAAGATTAACAATGATATCAACAATTATTTTAATAAAAATAAAATGAGCAACAAATAATCTTCCAAGTTCCACTTCACAGAAGTGAAAATACTGAAAATAGTTAGTGTCAGCGTTAGGAGCTGAGCAGTGGTTTGGATTCCACCATGATGGATGGCCAGAGGATCAGGTGTGATGAGAAGGCAACTCCTGCTTTCTCCATGCATCTTTCACCAGGAAATCTCTTTATCTGCCTTCCACTGGTCCACCAGGCTGCCCCGTTCCTTTCTTCTCTCCCTGTCAGTGCTGGATCAGCCTCCTTTCATCCTTCGTGCTTTTTTCCTCCGTCTCTTGCTACGTCTTGCTCTTGCTCCAGGGGTCAGTGTCCCTGGCAGGTCTTGCAGCACATCTGTCTGAAGTATGCTCGGCTGCAGAACTTGAACTTCAGCACCAGTGGGCAGTACGCCACTTTGTTTACATCTTTGCATTCTGCAGAGAGAAAGAAGAGAGCTGAGTTAAGGAGTAAAAAGTTTTTATACTTAAGTTACCATCCCAAAGAAATGTTTTACTGACCTCATAAAACCCGTATCTAGCACTAGTTTGTGCCAGTCTTGTAACTCCATGTTCTTATTATGCACCCAGGACTTGGAAAAGTTTACAGTGATTAAACTTTGCCTTCATTCAAACATTACATTTAAAACAACGCTTCATGATGAGTGAAATTGTTTTAAAAAGTCAGGTTTTTATTTCTGATGTCTCTTTGGTCCTGTTTTGTTTTATGTGATTTGTATAAATTAATGATGGATTCTTATGTAACTAACATCTATCTTATGTTGCCATGGATGTTCCTTTCCAGGTATAATATGTTTTACAAAAAAAAAAGCAAAGACTTCTGTCATTTCCTTGAGTAGAAGATATAGTCACAACTTTTTTATTGTGCAGCAAATAGAATTGGATACTGGATTATGAAAACAGCTACAAGTGTTAAATAACTTTGTGGGTTGTTTAAATCTCAACATTTATTCTTTGAGAAATCGGGATGCTTAGTAATGCGCAAGCTGCACAAACTGGGGCTAACCTGCTACAGGGGGCTGGTGTGTCTCCCTCAGGCCTCCACAGAATAAAACTACAGCTATACTTGGACGCAGAAACTCAGACAGATCCTGGCCTCGTTCACTAACTGGGCTGTCTGCCATCCCCACGACGCGCGCACACACACACACACACACACACACACACACACACCCACACACACTGCTTTCTGGATGCTGGACAGGCAGTGCTCTAAATGCCTTATCGCGATCGGTGTGTCTTCCCTTATTAGGCTTTGGGCCCTGCGTCCACAGAGCCAAATGAAACGAGACATTGCCTCACTGTGTTCGTGAAGGAATAATTAGCCTTCAGCTAATTCCATTAGCCAGCCTGTAAATGCTACTCACGTTTTCCATTCAGGCTAATTGAAAGACCCTTCTCTATGCATCTGAATAGCCATCCTTCATGTGTAAGTGTATATGGAGGGTTGAGCTGTTTCGATTTGACCAGGAGCCAAGCTCACTGGGAAGATTAATGTAGCTGGCAAAGTGTAGAGGAGTGTGTCATCCAAGCATGTTTAGGTCATAGTAGAACAGTGAAAATGAAGATGGAGACAGTTTATAACCGTTTCAATTGGGGCTTTGTGTGAAAGTAATGCACACACAGTTCAACAGGTATTCACATAAACCATCTGCTTCTGCAGGTTTAAACAGAGCTGCATCTGTTTGGTGACCACACATTTTTTTCTTGAGCGTGATGAAAACTGCAAGCAATACATCACACACATGTGATGGCAGTGTCGATACTCTGATGCGGTACACCATACAGTGTATTTTGACATCTTACCGTCGCCGTTAGAGATGGGGGTGGCGTCACACTTGCTCTCACACTGCTGCATGGTGGAGGGTCGGAGGGACTCGGCGCACTCATTAGACGGCTGCCCAGTGTACGACAGACACTGCACTGTCCTCATCTGCTGGCCCAGGCCACAGTGCGCCGAACACTGTAACAGAAAACATCAGAGTATGATCTGTGCGGTCTTTAGCCAGTGCGGAGTGAGGACCATCTTTCCTCTGTGAGCTGAGTGCTGGGCTCCTCAGACTATCCTCTTTCACATACCCGCACACAGCCATTCTGAGTAATCACTCACAACATGGTCCAATCAACCAATCATCAGGGCACGGAGCCGTCCAGAGCCAGAGTCACCTTCCTTTATGTCTTATTCAGTTGGCTGCCTGTCACTGACTGTTTCCCAACTCAGAGGAACCAGGTCAACTGTTGCTTGTGAGGTTTGTCTCTGTCCAAAAGCACATTTTTGTGTATGTGTGAGGAGAGAAAGAGAAAGAAACCCTCAGAGAGTTACATCTTGTTTTCTCCTGAGGAATCCTTCTGTAATTCTTCACAGACGATGAGCTGAGCCCGAACCAGTATGTATGGCTGAAGGGGATGAGTGATTTCAGATGAAATTATAATGAACATTATAATTATGCTGCTGGCAGAAAGGCCATTAGTACAAAGTGGCTAAAACACTGGATTAGTATTGCTCACGATACCTTCAGATAGAAAAAATAACTTTCCCCATAAGACTGATTTTCTTCTATGCATCTTTGATATACCTGTATTTTTATTATGACAATAAGATTCAATAAACCAGGGGCTTTCAGAGTCTTACATTCTGGACCACCATCAGAAGAAACTGAGACATCTGCTTGATTTGGGGGATAAAATGCTCTAAGTTTTGGAATCACAGTTCCGATAATTTAGGGCTTTAGGAATGTGAACAGGAAGTATAATGTTGCCATGGAGTCACTGAATAATGCTGTGAGCTACAGCTTAAACCCACTTTTTTGTAAGTCTATATTTGTTTATATTTTGACAAATGGGCACCATTACAAGTATGCTGAATTAGCTATTAGTAGCTCATGTTTGCAACATACCTATGGATATACGAACAACTATCAGTGGGTTACTTTGAAACCAAAAAGAACTTAAAAACATCATGTTTATCATGCGGGTTCTGGAGTTATGAAGAGTGTCTTTCCTCCATGATTTCAAGAAAGACTTAAAGACATTTATTCAAGATGGCTGATAAACATAATGACATCCTTAGGAAGTGTAAGTCGTGCTGAATCTAGAACTATGTTTGTCATGTTTTTGCAGTCAGATGTGATGCTATAACTCCTAGGGAAAACACTACTGCCACTGCAACTGCTAACAGTGCTGGTGAACAGGCCAAATCAACAGACATACTAAGAAGCATGACTTCAGAAGCAAAGCAAAAAAACATAAAATAATCAAGCATAATAAACTGAACACAGGTGCAAAGTGGAGCCTGTGCTGACTAGAAACGTATGTCCCTGAGCAGAGGAAGCACCAGCCACACCAGTCCAATGTCAGTCTGTGTGTCACAGCTCAGAGGTCTGACAGAACTACATGAATGTTAAATCTGTTTCCTCAATAATAGGAAATAAATAAATCAGTCATTCTTGCATTAATAATCATTACATCTCAGTGATAATGAGTCGTGCTTTAGTATTTATTCTCTCACTGCAATATTTAATGTTGATGAGTTAATAAAGTAACACTGATTTTATAAGAGGAGAAGGTATTACTGTATCTGAAGGTGAAAAGGTTTGTTCACATGTGAAAAAGTCTGTTGCACTGAAGATAACATGTTTCAATGTGGCACTTGTAATCAAAACTGAGATGTGTGCAGCATTAAACTGCTTTGCACAAAAAACTATCATATCTTCAGCAAAATAAGCCTCAAATGAAGCAGATACCTTAACTAATCTTTGGAAGCACTGAGAAATAATGCACCTAACACCTGTGTGTGTATGACCATGTATGAGTGTAATATGAACCCAGCTGCCCCCACACTTTGTCACCTTCAGTGATCTACTCTGGCTCCTTCAGATCAGTGAGCCCTCATGTCATCCCTTCCCAATTAGAGAGTCTTTATTAGAGTCGGCTGCTTGCCTTGACAGATGGTGTACGTCAATGGTGCGACTGAAGTGGGATTTGAACCTGTAACCTTTTGGCCTGTAGACCAGGGGCTTAGTAGCTGGTAACAATCTCCCCTTTCTGATGCTCCAAGGACCAGCCGGTGAGGGATCAGAGCAGTAAGGGCAAAGCTCGTAATTACAGCCCCAACAAGACGAGGTGGAGCGGGAGGAGGCTACACAAACACACACACCTCTGCAATGCATGAGAAAGTGCTACGTAAAAGCAGACTCCAGCTGTTGCTATACGAGGCGTTAGACGAGGAGCCCACTCTTTGATGGACCACACTGAGGTTATAAATCAGGTTACTGGCACTGATGGAACTGTAAAAGTGTGTTATTGTTGTTTGTGAATGCACATGTGGCCAGTATGAGGAGAGCTGCGGCCTAGATTGCCTGACTCTTGACCTTTGACCTCTGCTCTGAATAACAGAGACCTAAATCCATGACATCACCTCTACCAGAGCACAAATGACCTGCACATTACTGTCTTCTAAACAGAGCATGCTGTTTAAATTCCACATTTACAGTGAATTATCAACAAAGCCAGTGAAATAACAAGCCATACTTTTTTCTAGATGCAACTTTCTCTGACGCACGTTCTCTCACCAAAATGAGTCAGCTGTGTTTTAAAGTGTTCAGCAGCTTTTGCTTTACGCACTGAGTCACGTCAGGAAGAGCCCAAGAATGCTGCTCCCTGGTCTTCCTCTAAATTGTGTTCCTGGAAGTGATAGAGAGGCCTGGTCTGAGGCAGAGATAAACTTCAGGCAGGAGGATATTACTGCCACTGATCACACACTCCAGGCCTGTTGGAGCACACACACACGTCACAGGTCTGCGTCGGCACCCGGTGTATGTCATCCAGGTGTAAATTACATTAACCATTTGCCAACACATGGAATCTCCCTGTGCATTTCAGACATCCAGCCCACCTTTTTAAAGGATTAACCACCACCCTGTTGTTTGAGAAGCTCACGAAAATCATGCTTAATTTAATCATTTCTTTTCAGACCAGGCTATGATGTCAAGGACGTGCTACCCTACCTGCCCCCATTCACCAGGGATCCAGCGAGGAGGAGGACAGCGGCCTAAACTGCAACGGATTCGGACTGGAGGTTTGTTGAGGCTCGGGCAGTGGGCGGGTGGGAAGGTCTTGGTCAGGTCACTGCTCTTACACAAGGCGATGCGGTGCTTAAAGCCAGGGCCGCATTTGGGTGTGCACTAAAAAGGGAGAAGGGCATGAGATAAAGATCTTGACAGCACAATAAACTAAAGAGAGTCAGGTTCAGAGAATGATCTTACCTCGGACCAGTCCAGAGTGACCCACTTTGGTGGGCAGGACTGATTGTTGCAGGGCTCTTGTTCGATAGGCCGGTGAGTCAGGCAGTGGGTGTCCTCCAGGGTCTCCTCCTCAGCAGGGCCCATCTTCCTGATACACAGGACTGTCCTCGTCCTTATGCCACCATCACATGTCTTCCCACACTCCGACCAGTCACCAATAAACCACCTGGAAGAGAGAAACATGAGGTAAAGCAGAAGAACCGATGCTAATAGAGCTGCTGTGATTTTTGTCAGTGTTGTTACTCCAGTGTGCTTCTGCTGTATACATTCTCTGATTACTTGATTACATACTACTGGTAATGTCAGCAATAGTGTGAAGTCACGTTATGGTACAGTACATTGAAGTGACTTCATTAAGGCTGGGTTACCAAAAGGGCAAAGTGGGAAACTGCTGCAGGGCCAAATTAGACCCAGTGTTGTTCAACTCCACAGACTTCAGAATGAATAGAATAAAACTGCCCAGACAGCAGCCCTCCAAAATATCCAGTCTGTGAGATATTACATCATCTGGAGGAATGCATACAGGATTAACCTGTTCAAACATCTGTGTTAGCGTTCATTGTTCGAGCCCAACAAACCGTGGCTGTTCTAAAACAACTGTGTTTACGTTATCTCCTTTAGTCGGCTGCGTTTGCCTTCTTCACGGACCCGATGCTGTTTACGCACTGTAAATCAGTGCACACATGCAGCATAACAGCCATCAGACACTAATCAAAACAAATGAGATACCACAGGTCTGAATCAGATGTGGAAATAAGTCACCCAAGACTGTAGTCTGAATGTATGAACGCAGGTTACCACCTAGACAGTAGATTTATAAAACTATCACTTTCTTTTTTTTTTTGGCTGGACGGCACCAACACTCACAAATAAATTATGACATAGTCTTAAACTAATTAACCTGATGCATTTAATCCCTCTTTTTCCAGTCATGACTGAATTGAGTCTGGTTGTGCTTCCAGCTACAGCGTAGGGTTTACTGACATTTGGACACCAAACAGAATTTCATATTCCACCTGTACACATGTATGTTACCCCCCAGGATCGGTAAAGGGGCCAGAACAATCAAACACAGGTGGTCATTTTCAGGCATCTTATTTTTGGCTCGAGACAAACACTGAAAATAGTTAACATATGAAGTTATATCACTGATGTTTTATTTTATTATTTTTGTCCAAACACATTTTACCAGGGCTCATTGAAGGCAAATTAATATCACAAGTTAGTTTCATATATATTTTTATATGAAAAATAGATCAAACGTGTGATGTGAAAGGTAGGGCTGCCCCCAGATAGTCAAATAGTTGAGTCATTAGTCAAGAGACCTGTCAGTTGACTGGAACTCTTCTAGTTGAGCCTTTCTTTTTATTATATATATATATTTTTTTTCATCCGGTGTCCATTGCAATAGAAGGCAGCCCCAGCCCAGTAGTGTGTCATCCACGTATCCTCATTTTGGTGTGCCAAGGAGCAATTTGCTCAGTGCTTCCCCCTGTGGTCAGGGGGATTACCACTTCACTGGTGCCACTGTCCAATACATGGATGTGCATTAAGGTTGGATCTATTTAGCAAATTGCAGAACAGGGATAAAAAGACAACAGGAGGTGAGATTTGCACTTTATTATTCAAACACTCTGGTCTACTTTTACAAGAGAAAAGTCTGTCACAATGATGCGGCTGGTTTAGCCTAATGTTATGTGAGGCCAGTTTGTTTACCCGTCTCTTTTAAAGTGCAACGCACAGCCATTTACTGGCTGTTTCGGTGACATGCATCCATCCAAACGGGACAGGGAAGCTAACAAGAATGCACGGGAAAACATTTCAATGAGGAACTATAAATAAGAGGAATCATTCTCAGTGCAAGCTGGCACACATTAGACACACAGTAACAAAGTGCACTGTGGTTAACTAACAGGAGAAGCTTAAAGTTGTTGGTAAACTAGGCTATAACCATGTCTCAGAAGAAAAAAAATGCCCATAAGAGCATTGGTTCAACAAATACAAGTGTGCTGCCTGTCTCATTATTCTGACAAATCCATACGGCAGCCCGACATTATATATTGTCTGTTTAAATAGGCCGCAATCTTGAATCATATGCAGCTTATTGGTTTAGAAATGCTCAGAAATATGGTCCTGTTACTCTTTTGCATTTAAATACTGATGTTAATGTGGACAGAATCGTCACTAAAATCATGCCATTTGATTTTCTGATAATCTAGGTTACATATATAAACAAAGGAAAGAAAAAGAACAAATAGTCACAATGAAGAGCCGACTGACAGTCTACTGACAAGATTCTTAGTCAGGTACAGCCCTAGTGAAAGGTCACTCGACAATTTTCCTTAGCTTTATGGAGTATTTTAGTATCTTTTAGCTCAGTGTTTTGTTTTAACTGCCCAGCAGCAGATGTTTTCAGGGAAAAATATTGTGCGCCACCTGCCCAGTGCCAGCTAGCAGGTTAACATGGTGGAGCATTTAGCAGCTAAAGAGCTAGACATTTCCTCAGGGGTTGGTAGAGACCAAAACAGAGCTAAAAGACAGTGAATTCAGTTCATCAAAAGGCCACAGTCATGACTCCACATGTTTCACTGGATGTGTAAATAGACACCCAGTGGCTAACAAGTTATAACATGACACATATTCACTTAAACGGTGATGTCAGTGTTGTATTTATAGCTTCTTTCCGCTGCACATAAGTGACCAAAAATCAGTTAGTCAATCAACATCAACATTACTCATTGCTATTTTGATAGGTAATTAATCATTTAGGTTATTTATCAAGTAAAAGGCCATTCTTTGCTTCAAGCTTCTCATATGTGGAGATTTACTTTTTGTTTCTGATTTATATCATTGTAAATTTAATATATTTGGGTTTGTGCTGTTGCTCAGACAAAACATGCAATCTGAAGTTGTCACTCTGGGCTCTGGGAACTTGTGACTGGCTACTTTCACTAATTTCTAACATAAAGCAAGAAATTCATCACTTAATTTTTACATACTCTGGAGGACAAGGCTCAGAGTTGCAGTCCCTCTGGTTCTCTGGGGGTTTGCTGTCTGGGTCACAGTAGCTGTTCTGGACCACTGAGGTGTCATCCAGCCTTTTACACACTACTTCCTGCTTCTGGAAACCTGCAGGGGGGGAAAGACCAATCAATAAGGCAGCACAGACCTCAGCTGATCTCATACATTTAAACCCCCTCTGAAACATGGAAACTGGCCATCGTGTTGAGCGCCATGTTTGAACAGAGATGGTATCACTTTCAGTCTGTAGTAAGTTCAGACATGTAAATTCCTGATTCTTTGCAGGATATCTTGGCAAATCACTTTTTCAGAGCAGAGTGCTCTTCTGCTGGCGAGAGTGAGGGCTACTGTGTCGGGGTCACGCTGTGTTTGTGTGTATGCCATACCAACTTGGAAAGGGTCTGTTTGGACTCTCATGGGATGCACAGCAGACTTGTCTGGCAGATGTAATGAGATATATGTGTGTGTGTGTGTGTAAAGGAGAAAAACGTACTCATTTGTGCTTGAAGTGAAATACAGTTTGGAGGAAGAGCGCAAAGCATGGGCTAAAAGAGTTGTAAGGCTGTCAAAAGGTGTTTTTCATAGATTTTACTACTGCAGTGATATATTAAACAACACTACATGATTAGCTGAGCTAGCGGTGTCGCATGGGTGCATGATTAAATAACATTTTACTGATTTAAAGCTCCTTTTGGTCAAAGACACACAAATTAGATCATTTGGATCAACAATGCAAAGGCATGTTTATGACACTGGAGGTCCATGTGTGCTTCCCGACCTAAGGAATAGCTTGAAATGTCTGCTCTGGACTTGGAAATCCTTCTTCAGAAAACCCACATGCTTATTCAGTCATGCTTTTACAAAATATTGCAAACCTGTCCAGGCCATGCTTGACAACTGGGAAGAAACACTATTTATTGTTACATGAAACCCACTGATTTTGGGCTAAAAGGTTTGGTTTAGTCATTCTTGAGGCCATGGTCAACATTTCAATGTGGTTTCAGGTTTTGAATGTTTGACTTTGTAGGACAAGCACTCTGGAAGAGCAGCTGTATCTGCGTGCAGCACTGGTAAACCAGAAGCTATGCAGAGCAGCTCATTCACAGAAATTACACCATATACATTACTCAGGCTAAAATATGGAAAATATACATATTGGATTTATTAAAGGACTGAATCTCCAGGCTTTAAAATAATGATTTTGGAAATCCATCTCAAATTGTGATACTGGGTTTCAAAATACTGCTCTAGAGCATTTGTGGAATTATTGGCTTGGGAAGAATTACAGAATGAGACACACACAAGATATGAAGTGTTAAATATTTGTGAAGGTTAGAAATATTCAAAAAGAATTTAAACACCCACACCAGAAACCTCAGTGCTCTTTCTAAAAAGGCAACTGGCCACCAGAGCTCAGGAGAAAGTCGCCACTGAGACGACAATATTCTTCTCTTATCAGTGTTAATGAAACTGGTAAAAGAGTTTTATAGAATCAGTGTTCATGAAGAACAAATATGTCACATGACTAGCAGCAAAACTTTGCAATGTTTAAAAAATAATCGGTATATTTTAAGTGTAAATTAATGAAAGAAGGATCTTTAAGTGAGCTGCGACTGTAGGGCTTTTGTTTTTTGTTCAACAATCCACCTGTCTTCATGCACATTTTCAGTTTATGTATAAAAAAAAACAACCTGAATTTAAATGGCAGAAACACAAAAGGTTTGACTGATGTGAAAGCAAAATTTCATTGGCAAAAGCAAAATGTGCTCAAACCTGCTTGAAACTGACTGTGGCTTGCAAGACTTTGCAGCGCTGACCTACCTCCGGCACAGGTAGCCGAGCATTCAGACCAGGGCAGGTGGTGCCAGTAGAAGCCCACCTCGTTGTCGCCACTTCCTGTTCGCTGGATGGGCACGTTGAACTTGTAGCGAATTCCCAGGTTCTGCTCCTGAAGGAGCACCTGCAGGAGCCGCAGCAAACGAAAAGTGTGTACACAAAAAGACAAATTGCATGGTTGGTTAGGAAGTGATGGTACTTTTAGTAAAGTATGACAAAATCAGGAAAATGAGAAAATAAAGCATTTTTATGTATTTATAAAAGTCTTTATCTTTAAATCTGCATGAGTTGATTATTTATAAGGGGGTATTTCTGCAACTAGCACAGTACAAAAAGCTGAAATATTATTAGCTAATTAGGTTGTTCTGTCTGGAGTGTATGAGAGAGCAGCGGTTTTGTCTTCACCAACTCCTGTTCAGTAGCTAGTCTCTAACTCCATTTGTTTGCTATCGGGATCAGGTTTTCACATTACACACATGATCCATTGTTAATATCAAAGTATTGATCATCTCAGCTTTAAATGCAGGTTGAACAGTCCAGATCAGTGAGGCCCTTGTGGGTTTCTACTAGTATGCTGGCTGCAGAAGCCAAGGAAATTAGGCACAGCTTTTCAAGCCACAAATAAATGGATAGTGGGCCAGTGGCCGGTTGCTCATCTATTCCAGTGGTGCTGTGTGGTCTGGTATTTTCAGCGTTCGTGTCAAGGCAGAAACCACTGAGTAATTAGAGCAAGAAGATGCTCAGTTGCCTCACATCAACACAAACACGTCATCAGACCCATTAAAAAGTGGTTTCACCCTGGTAAATCTGCAGTACTTCACTCCCATACATTAATACAGACGCATGGACAGTAATACAATAAGTGATGTGTTTGCACTCAGCCAAAACTGTTTTTTTTTTCTCATCTACATATACGTACATAGCTCTGAACCCCAAACCACTGGCTGAAGGTCGCCTAAGGTTAGCACCCAGATGTTCGAAAATGAACTGCGACAGACCAACAACAGAATAGGTTTTACACAACTCAGTAACAACAAGGTATCAGTCTGGAGTTGCAAAGTGAGAGGGGTTATTTCAGGTGTCCCACTTTGCTGTTCTTTTTCTGCACAAGCATCATCGGTGTCAGTGGACACAGAACTCTACCAGTTAAATCACCAGTATGAAAGATGAGCATGTGAGTTACAAAATATCTGTTTTTTGATGAAAGTCCAAATCAAAGAAATGAACCTGTGTACCTAAAAATGTATGCCCTTTTCAGATATCATTGCAGTCACGCCAGCAACCCCCGAATAATATCTAGAATTAGGCTGCAGCTCTTAAAGCATCACTTCCTAGAGTGTCATGATTGCTAGGCTCAGTATAAGAAGCAAATTCCAATGTCAGTACATCATAATTTAGTGCATGCATAACTGTTAATGAAACTGCACGCAGTTCAGACTTGAGCAGGTCCCTATTGTGTTTGTGGTCTCATGCAGTGATGCAACACATATGGACTATGAATTTGAGGGACGAAAACGTCCAATCACTGCATGTGCCGCTAACAGTGAGTAGAAGCTCAATATTATGTTTTGGAGGAACCTGATAAAACGTTCAGCAGCTTAAATCAGGTCATTGAGATTCTGGGTCAGTTTTGCAACTAAGTTTTGTTCCCACCAGAATGTTTTTGTGCCTCTGACATCTACACAGCAGCAGTGACTGAAGCTTATGGGTATTGTAGTATGTCGAGGTTGTAATAATTCAAACTTATGGTCATTATCTCAGTGTAATGTAAACATTAAATTATCCAGGAGACTCCTCTACCTCTGTGTTTAGGAACATTGAGGAGACTATTAAATGGGAATTGACAGTGAGGGAAGATATTTCTCCCACTTCCTAACTCTATGACAAGAAGAAACTTGATTTTGACACATAAGGATAAGGATAATCACCTTTATTTGGCCAAGTATGTTACACACAAGGAATTTGTTTCCGGTACAGAACCGATGGCACCAACTCAACCAATGGCTCTAACCATCGGGGGGGTTCAGTGTCTTGCCCAAGGACACTTTGACACCACTGTCGCCTCCCTATTCTGCCCCATTCAGTAGTTTTTATAGTGTCAGGTGTTCAACTAAAATATAATACCATGACAATCAGGTTTTCAGTGGTAGCTCCCAGTGCCTCTAAAGACTCAGGTTCATCAGAGGGTCTCTTGTAGTGGAAGGCCGTCCCTGCGATGTCAAACTTCCTGGGCCAGTCAATGGTCCAGGCTCCATTAATGTAATAATCGTCCTCTTCAGATTTCAAAGCTAGGCAATCACAGAAACAAGAAATCCTTTAAGAAGACTAAAATCAAAGCAGACAGGAACAGTAGCTGAGACAACAGGTGGAGGCAATCATTTGGTGTTATGTCATTGCCGTTACTCATCTTCATCATCATCATTTTCAGCCTCCCTAATGCCACTAAATGCTGACTGACTGAGGAGAAACACACGTGCCTGTGCACACACTGTAAATGAAAACATTCACATGCACTGACAAATACATACGCCTAATTTATGAAGAGAAGGAAAACACACTTCAGGTGAAAGTCTGGACGAATCTCCTGAATACCACTCTGTCTGGATGTCAAAACAAAAGCTGGTTTCCAAGCACAACAAATCTGAAAATATCCACTTTCTCTACAGTGAGATGGGGCCAAATTGAAGAGAAATGATCCAACTGCTCGCTATTCTGTCTTTGGCTTGTGCTCTCCAGATTCCCCTCTGCAGCATTTACCCAGATTAGATGAACAGTAGTTTACACCTCTTTAACATATCACAATCCCCTTCTCAATAAAATTATCCTCAGCACATCAGGCACTAACTATGAGCACTGTAGTTTTGGTATTTTGAACAATGCAGTTTATTGTGTCACTTAGTTTTAGCCTTAATAAAACCTTTTTAAAAATGCTCACTTTGCTGGCCTAAATACAAGAACTCTGTCTTTATCACTGGGATCACACATGAAATTCATAACAAAGGTGCAACTTGCTTGTAAGGGAAAATCTAGTCCAACATATATAGACACCATATCCCTCATAATCCCAGTGGATCAGGCAGCTGTCACCACGGTCCTGTAAAGCTGATGCAGCTCTCCAGTTCAAAGTGTAACTTAAGCCCTACGTTCAACACGCTGTCACATGTCCTTCTGTAGTTAATGAAAAGACACAGAACTGTCTTAATTGAATCCAGTTGTTTGGTTGTTCTGGTTTTCATATGGCCAGTGTGGCAAATAGTTTTTGTTTAGTCTAGAACAGAGTGGATGAATCCAGTGCCAAGACCACCATCACATGCATTTACAGGGACTTTTATTCACACCCTATTTTATGACTTTACATTTGGGAACAGGAGATTAAATGATGGCATCTTTTAACTTGCTCTTGACAAAGACAAGAAAATCCCTGAAAATGTGGCTGACACATAATATAAAACAGGTTGTTGTCGCACAATGATAGTTCATCACACTGTAGTGAATTACAGGGTGTGCTGGGATTGATGGGTCTACAGAACTTACCCGGATGTTCTACACGTGTTTTTGGGCCCATAGAGCAAGCGTACCTGAGTTGAGCCAAGGCTCTCGCCAGTCATGCCAGCTGACTTCCAGTTTCCCGTACACTTGAATGGGATAAAATTAGAGATGTTCCAAACTGGTACTAAGTATGAGCGAACTCAGCCGCATTTCTGAGACACGCGTGTCACACAACCAGTAAGCTGCTATATCCATCAATGAATGGATTTGGCTGAGACACAGGGTATAGCCCACAGAACAATCCCTTAGATTGTAGTGATCCACATCATATCAACTACACACCAAAGTCTGGTCTGGATCCAAGTAATAATCCAGATTTGCTGGTCCAGAATGCTCACATATATAGGGCTCACAGAAAACTGGCTGCTGTGAGACAACACAAAGCTACAACACCGGACATCACTTACCAATATAATTCTTGGATATGGCGACTTCTTTAATCTCAATGTGAACCGAGCCTTTAGGGATCTGAACCACCTCCATGTAGCCTATAAGACAAGGAGAGGCATCATTAAGGTGGTATTTCACCCATTCAGCCCCCAGTTCTCATTTCTCTGTGACATATTTTACTTAGACAAGACAGAAAGTTGCATATCATATTAGGTTGGACTACATATGGAATAAATTCTAAATCACCAAAGAAGGACAAGGCAGGAAGATAAAGCAACCCCCTCCTTTTTTTACAGTCACACACATGCACACAGTATTTTTAGATGGTTTACTAGCCATACCATAGAAGGAGAAATATGTTTTGTCTCTCTCTCTCCTGGCCTCTATAGATGACCTCAGGCTATAGCCATCACTGAGCCCCTATCTCTACTCCTGATTTCTTCACTCCATGATGTAATTAATAGGAAAAATATTATGTTTTGATTTATATTCTGACAGCATAATTCTAAATAGCCAAAAACATATGCTCTGCTGGTGACTGACAAAGGTGAAAAAGGCTTATTTCCATGAAAGATTATCTTCCTGGCTTCGGGGATGTGTTGGATTTTGGACAAAAACTGCTTTGCCAAAAAGGACAGCAAGTTATTTTGTTTTCTTCATAGTCATCTCCAGCGACTTTAAGTTTGTCACGTGGTCATCGAATCAAAACACACTATCTCTGCTCCTCCTTTTCACAGTGAAGAGAGGTGAGAGAGTATCTAAACCTTTCACACTAAAAACAGTGCGCCTGATATGGTTTACCTCCTCTGGGTAGAGTCTCATTGAAGAGCCCCTCTGTGGCCTCACAGGTGCTGCCATCCCCTCCACACACACGGCATCGATCTTCTTTAGCATCAGAGTCCAAGATGTTGTCGCAGCCCACGTGCTTGAGAAAGACAGCGAGCACTGATTTAACTAAAGTCTGGTAACTGGGATCTAGAAAAATTCCAGAATTATCTTTTAACACACCTTCACTGACTCTAGCGATTACCACTGAGAGCTCATAAAAAGTGATGGGGTCTAAGCAGCCAGTGTAACACAAAAATGTGCCGGCTGCAAATCAGTTTTAAGGTCGTGTGGAGCCCATTAAACCTGTATCTGTTTGTATTAACTGCCTCATCGTAGCTTGATTGCTAAGGGCTTGGAGCGTCACAGAGGAGACACTGGTATTCAGCAGATCTTGATTAAAGTAAGAACTGTTTTATTTATTCAGATGCTGAACACTATGTGGATTCATTAGAGCATCTGCAGCATTAAAATGTTTTTACATGTTAAGCTCAGAGTCTACGTGTATAAATCAACTAGTCCTCAACAAGTGCCATTTTGGAACATTAGTGGTGTTGTTTAATTATACTGCATTAGAGGCTAAATAACAGAAACAGCTCTCTGTATAAGGCAGTGCAGCTGAACAGCAGCACAAAGTGCAGCCTCCACAGTGCGACTGCAGCTCTATCAACTTAATACTGTGGGGGGGATTACTGTTGTCATCAATCTTCCAGGTTATTTCTACTCTGTTATTTGTAATCTGTGTGTGTGTGTCTGCAGCACATGTGCACAGCAGTGTTGAGTGTTTCTGAAAGGCTTCCAAGCAGACAGTGTTCCAGAGATTTATCATAGTATGGCAGTGAACCCAGAGAGCCAGCCGCTGAAATAAAACGACATGCTGGACTCAGACTGGAAATAAACCTGTAATGCTCCTTTGTTAGGGAATATTCTACCTCTTTGAGTTCTCTTCCCATTAAAACACACATCATATTGTGTTTTTATATTAGAGCCAGAGCAGCACTGTGGGCACACATACTGCACTTTCATGCCAAACAGGAATCAAATTGTATGGTCAGGTGGAAGTCAAAGCAAATACTTAAACCGAGGAACCAAAAAGTTATTTCAGCTACATATCAGAAAATACACAAAACCCTTAGCTCCACACATACACACACACAAACTGTACCAAATGATTTATGCTCATGAAAACAAAGAGAAAACCAGCTCTCAAGTCATTTAAATAAAATGGAATTTTGTTATTAAATCAACCTTTTTGAATGTATAGAAAATCATTCTTTTTTATGTTTTATTTAACACAAAGGGGCTGCAGAGCACTGATAAGAGTCAGAAATAAGTAATGTCAGTCATTCAGTCACTATCAGCCACAGGCCTGATTATTCTTGACAATGCGGTTTTGTACTTTGCCTCTCTTGTTTACGCCATTAAAAACCTCACAAACTGTGCAGTCAAAGATAAAAGCTCGAGGCGCAGAGGCTGAAGAACCTCACACTAGGCCAGCTAATGTGGAGCTACAACGTCACTCCAGCTCTAGTCCACTAACTAACATCATACTGTGGTTTGTCGTATTATTTCAGGGCAAGAGATGCGTGATTCATTTTATTGCATCTGACTTTCATTTCATGTGAAAATTAAAAATAATACTGGGCTCCATTTGGTACAGTGACAGCTACTGCATCAACCTGTCATTTCATATGCTTCAGTTTTGCCTTCATTAGACAGGATTGATTGCACATTTATAGCTGGACACCACTTATCCCTACAGTAGGACATATAATATGGTTCACTGGCTTTTGCTCATATTTATTATGCTTAGTAGATTAATTCTATGAGATATGTCATTCGGAAAATGAGCCTTCAATCAGCTGAGCATGAGAGTTCATTCATTCATGACTTTGGAAACAGTAGTTTAGGGAAAAAACATCTCAACTCAAGTCCACTTTCCAACTTCTTCCAGAGCTTTTAACCACTTTTAACAGACATCCTCAGTGGATGGCATTTGTTCAGTTGTCACCATGTGACCTGGGTATGAAACTTTGGTCACATGATAACAGGCACTAACTCCATCGTACCTCTGAGGGACTGCTGAGGAAGACCATGACATGAAGTTAAAAGCAACTAACAGTTTTTATCAATTAGCCTATTTCCAAAACCCTAAAACATTTTCTTTATTATCACACAAGTCAAAGAAAAAGCAGCAACTTCTGCCATTTTAGAAGCTTAAACTAGAGAATGTTTGGAAAAACTACTTTTCAGTTGCAGATAATTGTGGACAGCACAGTGTACAGTTGTTTGTACTGTCACATCACAGTAAGCCAGCCAACCGGAGCCTTTCGATTTTCCATTAGCTAATGGATGGATGGATTATTGCATTATCAAAATAGTCGCTAGAATAGTGTTGTATATGATACAACTGATGGCTGGAGCTACCAGAATAACACCCACGTCGTAATAAACAGCAGTTTTCTTAAGAGCTTGTATAATGAGAATAAAAGAAATATTTGCAAAGTGTCCCAAATCATGTGGCTTTAGTTTTTAAATGGCCATAAGGACACATAACTGCTCCTTTACCTTACACTCTCCATTGATGCAAATGTCCAAAAAGTCAGCCTGACATCGGGTGCCATCGATAACTGCAGGAGAGCGCTCAGTGTAGAAGTTATAGCCTTCGGCCAAGCAGTTCAGCGCACACAGCTTCACCCCACCTGCATTATACAGAATACACACAGATGAGACCACGGTTATCTTTAGATCAGCCTGCACACAGAAAACAGCCAACATGACCTGAACCCTAACAGAGCCTAACAACACGCTGACACCAGCAACACCAGTGTTGTCTCGGGATTTGCAGCCAGCTCTGGGATCTCATTTTGACTTGTTGACAATAATAATCATGTGTAAGAAAGTCAGCGGTGCTCAGATCTAAACCTCTGAAGCTGACATCACTGTAACACTAACAGCCAACAACTATTACACCGACACCAACACAGGTTATCTACTGTTTCTACATGACAGCTCCCAGCCCACAGAGCGTCAGGAGTCAGGAGGTGATTTGACAAACAGATCTAGCATAAGCTCTTCCATCTCTAAGAGAAAATAAAATCTGTGTTTACATGCTTCACATTTGTATCAGTATTTCTTTGAGCTATGTGTGTTTTTAATTAAGTGGATATTTGCAATGATCTGCAGACATCAAGAAGAGAACTTGGGGGTAGAGTGACACAAGGCCCATACTCCTAAACTCCTGCCAATAACTGATAGTACAATAGCACACCCACCCATTCTGGCTCAGTTAGATAAACAGACTGAGGAACGAGCTCCAGTCCTTCTTCTGGGAGATTCTTGACATGTTTTGTGTTAGGATGCCTGTCCAAAAAGTAAAATCTTACAGGTTGGATAAGTAAAGTAGATGCATAGCACAGTGTTGTTGGTACTTAGTGGGTACAAAAAACAGTGATTTTTGGTTTTTGACTGCTGTTGAGTGGTGCTAGAGATTTTTCCTAGCCATCAATATACACGTTAATACTTTTCTTATGGTTTAATGGTGAAATCTTATTTAGTAAATCACCAGATTAAAACTAAACTTGACACACAAGCTTAGCAGTGGATTTACAAATAACTGCAGCATCCTGGTCCTGAACTCACCACCGGTGTAAGGCTTCCAGTTGTAGTACTTCCCCCGGAAAGGCATGTTATCAAAGTCGGCACACTGCTTCTCCCGAAAGTCACGAGATCCCACAGGGCAGGCCTGCAAAAAATAAAATACATAATATTAAATCATTTAAAATTTGAGATGCTTGCAGACTTTCCTCTTATTGCATTCTGTACTAATCACAAGAAGCCGAATGTAAATTAAGAAGGGTTGCATAAAAAATGTAAATCAAGGACATTTTATTGGTGTGAAAAGGACCTTAGAACCCCCAAAACATTACCCCCCAGGACAAGTAAACGCTGTTCAAAGCTGTATTTTACATGCTGAACTTGTTCCATGTTGGAGCAGGCCATGGGGAGGCTGAGCCACTTTCATTACCACTCAAGTGTTTTGCCATTATGGCAGCTTTAAACTTGCATGTCAAATATGAAGACTGAGTCAGAAGAGACAGAATAATATTATTACAAGTGTGTGTTGAAATGACAACACAGGGCCAAATGAAATTTACATGTGCTAATGTGTTTGCACAACCAAAAAAAAAAAACCTGTGCATTAGATCACATTCATGAAAGTCAGTGAACTTGTTGATTATTGTTTGATTAATAGTTCCATAAGCAATGCTAATGGTGAGGCTCTAGGGACAGCAGTGTCCATCTGCTGGTCAGCTAATTTGTGATAACCTTGGTTATCCTCTGACTTTTCCTCTAGCTCCCTCATCAGGTTTTAATTTGTCCAGTACTTTGGTGTATGACCAAATAACACTTAAAAAACTAATGGCATTTCAATCAGCATCAGCTCTTCTTGGTGTGTGCACGCTAACACGCTAAACTAAGATGGTGAACATGGTCAGCGTAATAGCTGAGAAACATCTGCATTTGTCACTGTCAGCATGTTAGCATGCTGACACACTAGCATTTAGTTTGGTAAGTAGTGTACACAGCCTCAAAGTCTGTAGTGTGTTTGTAGACTCAGCCTAACATACCTGTAGATTCTGAGCCTTGTTAATCAGCCTCTCACAAACCTCTCAACTTTATGAAACTACAGTACTGAGTCGCTATAGACTATATATACAGTGCCTTGCGAAAATATTCGGCCCCCTTGAACTTTGCGACCTTTTGCCACATTTCAGGCTTCAAACATAAAGATATAAAACTGTAATTTTTTGTGAAGAATCAACAACAAGTGGGACACAATCATGAAGTGGAACGAAATTTATTGGATATTTCAAACTTTTTTAACAAATAAAAAAACTGAAAAATTGGGCGTGCAAAATTATTCAACCCCCTTAAGTTAATACGTTGTAGCGCCACCTTTTGCTGCGATTACAGCTGTAAGTCACTTGGGGTATGTCTCTATCAGTTTTGCACATCGAGAGACTGAAATTTTTGCCCATGCCTCCTTGCAAAACAGCTCGAGCTCAGTGAGGTTGGATGGAGAGCGTTTGTGAACAGCAGTTGTCAGTTCTTTCCACAGATTCTCGATTGGATTCAGGTCTGGACTTTGACTTGACCATTCTAAGTCCAGCCTAAAGACCTTATATTAAACCATTACTTCTTCCAAAGGATTAGCATAGCATAGCATTATGCTCATGAAAAATATAAAGTAACTTCACATGGGATAACTGTAGTAGCCACAAGGCGGGGAGCCGCAATTAATAAATATTATCTGGCCACTGATCAATGTAATAATAGCTGATAATATAATAGCTGATAATAATAGCAGTCTGTGCATGTGTGTGTAAGCAGTTGTCACTGCATCCACATCTGGTGCTCCACACATTTCCCTGGGCAAGGTGTGGTCAGTGTGATGAAATAGGATGTTGTTTGTTTTCCAAAGAAAACACTCAGTGCTTGCTCTCAGCCTGTTATTTTTAAGGCTTGTGGTTAAACGTCCACCAGGGCCCTAACTATTTCAATTTTCACCTAGTGAAAAAAAGGCCACCTTGAAATAGTTGAATGGAGATCTCAACTTGCAGCCACGTTAAATATTTTTATAAAGCATTGCTCCAGACCTCAAAATAAGGTTCTGTGCTTTTCATGAAATACACTCTGAAGCTGTCATCATCGAGTGAAATGTCACAAACAACATATGGACTGTAAGTGACAAAAAGACAAACCCAAAGTCACCAGGGGAATATTAAATCACAGCCTGTCTGTTTTTATCCCCGTCTTTCCTGTGTTCCAGGAAGAAAACGTCAGAGAGCTTGAAGGTGGTGTGATGTTGCAAGTTGATCTGTAAAGCCTTTCATAGGACAACATGTTCTACAGGAGAAACATGGAGCTGCAAAGAGGAGGTTCAGCTGTTGGTCTGCGACAGGCCAAATTCATCCCAGGTCAGAGTGTCTCAACACACCAATTATCTCAGTCCGTTTCCAAACCAGAGCGCCCATTAAGACGACAGTTTAGTTTCCAAGTCACTTGTACAACAACATAAGTTTGGTGTCAGAATTAATGAAATTTTGCAAATGCGTTAATTAAGCAAATGACCAATTAAAATTGGTTACTGTTTTTTCCACATGGATGGTAGTAAAAACTAGAATTGCTATGTCAACCTCTGTATAGTAATCCTACTTTAAATCATTTTAGTTTCATATATAGATGCCTACTATTTTTCTGGTTGGTGCAGTTGTAACTTTACTACAAAGATGTTCCATTCTAGTATCTGTAAATTAAAATGTAGACGAAATTAAGGTCACTCCTGTATAATTAGCCCTGAGTAGTGTCTGCAAGGATTTCTTTCAGGTTATATACTACCCCAACAACTGTAGTTCAGCACATCAATTCTTCTGTTTCTTCCATATCCAGTTTTGTCTTCTATCTTCTGGTTGCTATTGATGGCTATAATTGATATATGTAATTGGTCTACAAAGCCTAATGCATTTCTTAAAGTTAGGAACATGCATTCACCTTTTTGAGGAGGTCATAAGGCCTGACACCTCCACTTCCAGCACAGACATCAGATTGTCCGTGCAAGGTTAGGTTTGGCATTCACTAGCTTACAGCTAGCTCAGCTAGCTCACTGTGTGTTAAGTTTTGAAGAGGTCTGATGATATCTACTTACTTACATGACTCTACAGGTTTTTAAGCTCTTATTATGGTGCAATAAAAATATAGTCAAACATCCTTTTTGCTGAAACACATAAGGTCTGCTCTAAACACCAAAGTTTTACATAGTGAAACAAAGACATAAAGAAACTCACATCAATATTACAGGATCTGTAGCGTTTTCTCTCTCCAAGACAGTACTTGCCTCCTCCAGATGGGCTGAGAGACGCAAGAGAAGTGAATGAACGGGGGATTCAAAAGTAAGCAGACGACATAGCGCATCCAGCACTATAATTAAAATGGCAAATTATTATTAAATTATTATCTGTGGGATGCAGTGAGTACATTAGGAAGGTTTTGGTGGTGACAGGTGATAAAACAGCCCTCAAAAAGTCTCTGCCATTGTGTTTGAGTGTCTGCATTTGCTGCTTAGCTGAGTATGTGTGCCAGTGATTCGTTCATGAAATCCAAGCTGCTTTAAGAGCTCTTAAGTGTTCTGTGACATTTAGACTTGGGAGAGAGACTAGAGTCTGTAACCCCAGAATGACTCTCTATTCGCTCTGTTTCCTCGTCTACTCTTCACTGCAGAACTGTTACATCTCTGAAGGGTTTGTTTTACTTCCCTAAACATTTCTCTCTGCCTTCTCATCTTCATTAGCCTCCTTTTCCTTCACGAGTGCTTCCATTTCTGCGAGACAGGCTGTGTAATGAATGTGTTAGAGGCTCGTCTGGCTGTGTTTTCTCTGCCTCCCTCCTCTTTGCACTGATGCCTGAGCACCAGCGATCACCTTACACAGGTGTTTCACATTATGGCCTGTCTTCCCTCCTTTTCCCCCCTTTTTCCTTGCCTCTGGTTCACACTGGCTCTTTCTCATGTCTTCCCATGATATTCAACGTAATATTGAGCTTCCAAAACAAAGGGATGTAAAAATGGAAGAAGGATAAATGGATAAAGCTCCCAAATGTCTGCTTGCCAGACAGAGATGCAGTGGACAGTGATTTGTTTAGTGATGCCTTACAGGAGGCCTTGAGAAAAAACAACTGGTGAGTCAGCTGACTACATGTGCTGCACCACAGAGGACAGACTGACCAAGCAGCGAACACCATGGATGTAAACTGAAGCCACTGCAACACTGGCTCAATATTCGGGTGCTGTAATGGCACCAAGGAAACTTTTTTGCACAAGAATCTGAACAGTTAAGATTAATGATCAATTAAGGCATAAAGAGAACAAGGTTTAAGGTGTCGGTTTTTGCCTCGGTTTGCAGATGCAGCAGTGTGCGTGACATTCTACCATACTGGTCACATCTTTCTTTTCCCACTGTAAACTGCTGGTCATACCAGACCAAATGAGGCTGTGACAGGAAAACCTCTGGTGTGCTGAATTGAACAAGCGTGAGTTTTACCGATTTAATTTGTAATAGGAAGAGTATTTCTTTTCAGATGCTACATAATGTCGCCTTAAAGGCCTCATAACACTTTGTAGAAACCTAATGACAAACCTGTCTCAACAGGAAATATGTCATATTTAAGAAGTCATGATACCATTTCATAAGATCTTGAAAGCTCTCTTTAATAAACCGTATGTGTTAACTGGCACTAGGAGATACAGTGAGACTGGATCAAGATACGTACGAAAATGTAATGAGATGTTTATCATTTTTATTTTTGACCACTGTACTGACCATTACACAATGGAACAAAATGGGCAATTTTGTCGAATCACTGGTTAAGTTAAAGGCTTTGTCAACATTAAAAAAAGTATCAACATTAAAAGTTAATGTTTTCTCTAAAAAGTCATTACAGTGAGCTTTAATGAAAAAGCTATTAAAGTTGTTTTTCTCAAGGAAGGAGACTTTAATCCTGTAAATGTTTCACTATTACTTAGCTTTAGAGACAATATAATTATCTCTGCTCCCACTCGGATATACAGTGGTGTGAAAAAGTATTTGCCCCCTTACTGATTTCTTATCTTTTTGCATGTTTGTCACACTGTAATGTTTCAGATCGTCAAACAAATTTATATATTAGTCAAAGATAACACAAGTAAACATACCATGCAGTTTTTAAATGAAGGTTTTTATTATTAAGGGAAAACAAAATCCAAAACTATATAGCCCTGTGTGAACAAGTGTTTGCCCCCTGACTGATTTCTTATCTTTTTGCATGTTTGTCACACTGTAATGTTTCAGATCGTCAAACAAATTTATATATTAGTCAAAGATAACACAAGTAAACATACCATGCAGTTTTTAAATGAAGGTTTTTATTATTAAGGGAAAACAAAATCCAAAACTATATAGCCCTGTGTGAACAAGTGTTTGCCCCCTAAACCTAATAACTGGTTGGGCCACCCTTAGCAGCAACAACTGCAATCAAGCGTTTTCGATAACTTGCCATGAGTCTTCCACAGCGCTGTGGAAGACTCATGGCAAGTTATCGAAAACGCTTGATTGCAGTTGTTGCTGCTAAGGGTGGCCCAACCAGTTATTAGGTTTAGGGGGCAAACACTTTTTCACACCACTGTAATACACATCCACGCAGCATACGCACATGCACATGCGCACAAACACACACCTGTAGGCAGGACCCGGATGTGTGTGTTCATCTTGCTGTGGCTTACTTTGCCTACTTACGCTGGGCTGTCACAGTGCCTCATGGAGGAGGATACACCACCCCCACAGGTCCTGCTGCACTCCCCCCACATCGACCAGGGTCCCCAGCCTCCGTCCACACTCTGAGACCGGGTACCGAACGCAACACATTCCCCCTGGTAGCACCACTGGTCGGTGAGGAGCAGAAACCCACACAGAGTGCGGGAAACGTTGGTTATTATGCAGCAGAGTTGAATCGTTTTTTTACAGCAAAAACACTGAGACACATTGAGGATTGTTTTAGAGCACATGTAGTAACATGCAACTTAATACCACACAAAATACTTGGTAGGTGTCAGTACTACAGTTTTCCAATGGTTCTGAGCACACTATAAATGTATGTGCATCTGTATATAGAAACCCACACAAAACTAAAATGTAAAAACAGCTTGTGGTTTTTAATGGAGGGGTAAGAGTTATAATTATCTTTTGATGATCAACAGCTACAACAAATAAGTCTTTGGAAGAGGAAGTCAGGCTAACAGAATGTGATCTCATAATTTTCTAGACCACATTTTAGCAGAACAACATTTTTTTACTGATTTTAAATATTTTTGTATTTAATGCTTCTGTTGTTCTGTGGAATGGTCTCAGAGGCCGTGACCCTGTTTGGGACTGAGCGATATAGAAGATGAATGAATGAATGAATGGTCTCAGAGGCAGGTGAAGGATGGAAAATGCTTTGCCTTGTGTTAAGCTGTTCAGAGGTCCAAAGGGAAGAAGGGATTAAAGACGGCCCTTTGTCTCTCCATCTGTGTCAGTAGAGAACCCAGAGAGACTGGGACAGTCAAGGTAAGGGCTACGCTGGGCCACTGTCCTCACTCATTCACACCCTGAGACGCTGTCTAAACGAGATTAGCAATGGGAGTAAGGAGAGATGGGCAGAAAGATGAAGGGATCTGTTCTTCTGTTCGCAACAACCTTCTGTGCATCAATTTGAACACAAAGTGAAGAGACAACCTCCCCACCCCTTTTGGCAGTTTCTGTCTGTCCTGTACCTCCCTCTGCCCCCTCCCCCAGTCTATCTCCCCCTGTCTCCCTGCTACTGGGCCTCTGTCCATTACACGCTGGGTGAGAAAAGGCTGACATCCATATTCCTTTGAAGCTGTTCTGGCAGGGTCAGACAGGGTGTACCACTGGCTCTCCTAAAGCAGCACCTAAAGCTGGTCCAAAGCCCTCCAGGCTCAACCTGGGCCCCCCCCTATGTTGTCCAGAACTCTGTCCATGGGCCCCTAGCCCTCAAAGGCTCCACTGGGCTAACTGTAATCATGGGTGACAGCTCGTGACAAGCTCCTATTCTTCCCTCGGACTATCCTGTAACAATGGTTGCCATAATCCGTGTTAAAACTGTCTCCCCTAACCTGGCTGGCATCAACAGAGGGTTGATGACCTAAAGCCTGTCCTGCCTGCTCGTGTGTGCATGTATGGTAGCACCCACAGCATGAGCACACACAGGGAACGGTATCCCTTCCCAGAGTGGAACAGATGCAGGCTGAGGCAGTGAGGTACCACTAGTTAGGAGTAACTAGTAGAGGTCTTCACTGGGCCAAAGCAGACCCATGGATCACCTACCCAAACCCAACATGCATAAATTACCTTTCAAAAAGTAGAGACCCCATCCAAGAGCGACCAGAGCACAGTCAGACCCACCCCAAACGGACCCAGGTTAACTAGACCTAATCCAAAATGTGATCGACCTGAACAGACCATAACAGAAACAAACTCATTCAGCAGAATGATGGCTATCAATTAATTAGAACAATTAACAAGCAGCCACAGAGCCTCTCAAAGGAATGAGTTCTCTAACTTCAGACTGTGCTGTAGCTCATTCCAGTAGTCAGGTGCATAGTACTGGAAACCAGTCTGTCCCATTTCAGAATTGGTATAAGGAACTTTTAAAAACCAGTCTCTCCTGTGATCTAGTGTCATGCTTCTGTCCCATTTCAGAATTGGTATAAGGAACTTTTAAAAACCAGTCTCTCCTGTGATCTAGTGTCATGCTTATTAGCTCTGAACTGATGTTAAATATCTGAGCAGCTTAGTAGCAGGGCCTTATAGATGAAGGCACACGTATGATGATGACCTCTGACCTTTTCATACAACTCCCTGTGGTGAGGGCGAACCTTTAAACTTATGAGAAACATCTGATGGCTTACCCCTTTCTCGATGCTGCCAGTCTGGCACAGGGTCCCTTCTGCAGCTGGGATACTGTTAGTTACACAGCGGTTGCTTTTGCTAAGGCACCAGAGCTCTCTACACACTTCCTGGGAAAGAAGGCAAAAGCAAGTTGGTCAGAATAAATCAATGCAGGGGATGGACTGCAGAATAAGAATGGAAATGATTTATCATAGCCTTTGGTGGTTTTCCTATTAGTGTTTTTGTCTTTTCTCTGACAGCTGAGAGAAAAATAAAAGCAGCATGGAAATTCATCTATAACTCGACATGATTCCAGATCAGATCAGGGGACAAAGGGAATTGATGAGGCCACATCGAGGCTGCTAACTTCCAGAGCCCATATGCTTTGGATCATAGTGCATTTTGAGCAATAGGCCAAGGGTCAGCGGGTACTCTTCATGTTCTCGTATGAGAAATGAAGAGTCAGCTGGATCAACACCATGACTAACGTCTGCTCATGTTCACCTCAGGATCACATGGGACTGTGACATCAGTTGAAGAAATCCCATTCCTGTTTCTCAGGGGAATGAGCAATAGGGCTCCCCAGGCCAGATAAAGACGACTTGTTGGCCTAACAGATACCTTGAGCATTACTGAGTGGTTTGAATAAACATATTTTGTTCTTCTCCCCTTCACTCCTTAGTCTAGGACAGAAGGAGAATCCATTTAGATTACTAAAAGAAGGAAGTGTATCTGAGCCAGAAAGAGATAATGGGAAGACAGCCCTGTGTTGGCTCCTAATAAATAAAACCACAAAGTGAACACATGTTACAAGGACTGCTCTGCACCTCTTTGCATTAGATTTCCATTTAAACCTAACTGCGTCGTCTCGTGTCGAGACTTCAAAGGGTTTTATGGGAGAATTGTGTACAGCAGAAGAACAGGTCCATGAAAAAGAGTTATGGTCCCTCACAAAGGGTTTGACCTCCAGGGTCAGTAAATATGCCATGGCCCTGCAGCCCCCTGAGCTTATCCAGATTAAATAAAGCGGCAAACTGCCACTCTCTGGTTGTAGCAACTCTCCTCTGCCAGCTGGTTTCAATAAGCCAGCCCACCGCTCCATTCACTGCGTGGGCCCTGCAAAAAGGTCAACGGCTCAAGCCTTAACAAATATCACCTGGGCCTGATCAATTTACGCAAAGACAGAACAAGTTGACAATAAAAGGGCAGGGGCACAACGTAAAGGACCCGCTAATGTACAATACAGGTCAAAAGGTTTAGAGCACTTCCATTTTTCTACTTGTTATCAGTGGGATCCAACAGCCAAACATACTTGTGTCATCCTCTGTACAACTAAAACCAAACACTGCTGGGACAGACGGCACCATAGCAGAGGTTCCCACAAATGTGTTGCACCTGCCGGCTGCTTTGCTTTCACTCTTCACCTGGAAAGTCTGGACCCTGTGCTGCCGTTCTATCATGTGAAGCCAAGCGTCCGGTTCTTTCCTCCTCCACAGCCTGGAGCTGTTTGTGGCTTATTCTCCTGCTACAGGGTGAAACCCTGAGAAGTTCTGACTTCCTGTGTTAATGGCCTTTTTCCACATGATGCTTCAGAGGGAGCAGTAACAGTCTTTTCCAACACTGCTTTTGTACAGAGAGAATCTGTTGTCAGTCACCAACAACAGTTGGGTCACCTGTAGGAATTGTTTGTATCGGTTTTCACAGCTGCAGAAAACATGGAGGCCTAAAAAAGGCCTGTTGTAAATGAAATGTACACACATTATTAGTTTTTGTTCAAGGATCTTTAAAATCTTCAAATTTAGTAAGACCTCGAGAAGGTGTTGTTTGCCATATTCAGCGAAATAGTCATTGTCATTTGCTGTACAGGTGTGGACTCCAACTTCAAATCTATGCAAGCAATATGCACTGTGGGCAGTTTATTAGGAACACCTAGCTAAAGCTAAGTCAGTCTAATCCAACAGTTCTGCAATAATTCTTGAAGGTGATAATGTTCAGTTTGTGTTTGAAGGTGTTGATGCACTGTATGATCATTGTGGAGGCTGCTGTCAGTGCTGTTGCTGAATTGTACTTCATTATACAGAGAGCTGTTTCTGTTGTCTAGCATAGCCTCACTGATATAAACGTGGTATAACGCGATACAGTTTTGACGTATTTCCTACCCTAATAATCATCTAGCGACCGCATGTGGGATCTGGATCCACAGATTGGGAACCACCACTCTACATTAGCACAGTCCAAGTCATGGGTGGTGGAATATTTCCATCTTGTCCTGAGGGTGAATGAATGAGTTGTAGATTCCTGGCCATAATTTCAGTTAGTTGAGGCTGAAAAACTTCATCATTTTTTTATTTGAAGCCAAAGAAATTGTTGTTAGCAAAATGTTTTGGCACCATAGCAGAGGTTCCCACAAATGTGTTGCACCTGCCGGCTGCTTTGCTTTCACTCTTCACCTGGAAAGTCTGGACCCTGTGCTGCCGTTCTATCATGTGAAGCCAAGCGTCCGGTTCTTTCCTCCTCCACAGCCTGGAGCTGTTTGTGGCTTATTCTCCTGCTACAGGGTGAAACCCTGAGAAGTTCTGACTTCCTGTGTTAATGGCCTTTTTCCACATGATGCTTCAGAGGGAGCAGTAACAGTCTTTTCCAACACTGCTTTTGTACAGAGAGAATCTGTTGTCAGTCACCAACAACAGTTGGGTCACCTGTAGGAATTGTTTGTATCGGTTTTCACAGCTGCAGAAAACATGGAGGCCTAAAAAAGGCCTGTTGTAAATGAAATGTACACACATTATTAGTTTTTGTTCAAGGATCTTTAAAATCTTCAAATTTAGTAAGACCTCGAGAAGGTGTTGTTTGCCATATTCAGCGAAATAGTCATTGTCATTTGCTGTACAGGTGTGGACTCCAACTTCAAATCTATGCAAGCAATATGCACTGTGGGCAGTTTATTAGGAACACCTAGCTAAAGCTAAGTCAGTCTAATCCAACAGTTCTGCAATAATTCTTGAAGGTGATAATGTTCAGTTTGTGTTTGAAGGTGTTGATGCACTGTATGATCATTGTGGAGGCTGCTGTCAGTGCTGTTGCTGAATTGTACTTCATTATACAGAGAGCTGTTTCTGTTGTCTAGCATAGCCTCACTGATATAAACGTGGTATAACGCGATACAGTTTTGACGTATTTCCTACCCTAATAATCATCTAGCGACCGCATGTGGGATCTGGATCCACAGATTGGGAACCACCACTCTACATTAGCACAGTCCAAGTCATGGGTGGTGGAATATTTCCATCTTGTCCTGAGGGTGAATGAATGAGTTGTAGATTCCTGGCCATAATTTCAGTTAGTTGAGGCTGAAAAACTTCATCATTTTTTTATTTGAAGCCAAAGAAATTGTTGTTAGCAAAATGTTTTATTGGTGACATATTAAAACTACAACATGGATATTATTTATAGAGATAGACTTTGGTGTGTTCTGGCTGATCTCCTCTTTCTTTCCCAACACTGTTCTTCTGTTCCAAACAATTAAAAACAGACAAAATACTCATCCAGACATGGATGAGTTCAGCTGGTTATGGCTGAGCCTTTGCTTCAGAAACCATTTCTGTGTTTAGTCCTGTCCTGTAAGCAGTCACACAGGGCATCGCTTTCACAGATGGCTTTGTGAAATAGATCTGATTGTTAGATGAAAAACTCCAATCTAGCTCTGTTGGATCATTGTTAGAATCCAATCTGCTAATAAATGTGTGTCTTTCATGCTGATCTAAAACCACAATTATGAGCTTAGGAGCCAAAATAACAGGGCTTGATTTGGGGGCTGTTATAATCTACTGTCAGGTATTTCTTTCAGTGGAATGAAATAACGCTATGATCTCAGCTAATCTCTGTCCCCTTTTTCCCATCATGTGCCCAAATATTTATACAGTACAAAACAGTATCACGTTATTGTTCATTAAATCTTTGCGGATTCTTTCAACTGCTCATTTTACCATTTGGTTGTTGCTTGTCTTTCGTTGCCTGAGTCACTTTATTGACTAAGGTTTTCTCATTACTTGAGCTGGGGGGGTGGGAGTGAATCATTTTTATTACAGAAGAGAGAAAAGCAGCTGAGAGGAGTGTTGACTGCAATCCTTCATCTCTTTGTCTGGAAAGTTTATAGATGAATATGGAGAATAAGGCAACGTGTGGACAGACACCTCCCAACCAGCTCATGTTGTCAGACAATAATAAAATGATTATCTTCCTCACATGTTCACCTCCCTTGTATCTGAACGAGGAAGCGAAAACTGTTATTAACTATTATTACCTTAGTGAACATGCCCTTATCATGCACATCATCGAATCTGCTGATGTCAATTGAAGATCTGTTAGCTGTGCTCTCAGTCTGTCTTTGCTTAATCAGTGTCAAGTATGGAGCTCAAACAATTAGCCAATTAGTCTGTCATCGGAATATTTACTGCCAGCAATCTTGATCATCGTTTAATCACATCATTACCTGATCAAATGTGAGAATTTGCTCCTTTATTTATTCTCGCCATTTGCCTTTAGCATCACAAGACATTAATAACCTTTATCTTAAGCTTCACTATATTGTGTAACACAATATAACTGTTTATCTGTTTATGTCACAAAAATATCTGTATTCAGATTCATACTGAAGTAGTCAAATAATAAAATATGGTTTGTATTTAAACCTTATCTTCACCTTTTATTTAAAAACTGAAGGTTCTGTATATACTGGACAAACAAATTGAAAAACTAAATTTTGAAAAGCTCTTTTGGCCATTTTGATGCACGCTTGAGACGGCTCCTAATACCAGGCTTCATTAGAATAATGAGGTAAAAATAACATCTGAATAGTGAACCTATGACTACACTTCTGTGTTTTAGCCTCTAGCCTGTCATGGAAAGCTGTGGCGGTTTGGTTGGACTACTTTGATACTGAATGAACAGTCTGATCAATTATGAGCCAAAATCAGAAGCTGTAAGAAGTAGGGTTGCAACAATTAACATGCCAGTTATGTATGAAATTAATCAAGTCATTGTTTGGTCTATAAAACATTGAAAAATGCTCTTCAAATATGTCCTTTGTACAACACAATATGATGTCACTAAAGGTCTCCTTTTGTTCCTGCTACAGTTTAAACCCCAAACTGTTTTATGGTTAGGGAGTTCAGTTTGTAGCAGGGTGTGTATGACATTTTTGAGTGTGTTTTGGGAGGATATTACTGCAAAAACTCATCTCTGTTCATATAAGGTAAAGTCCAGTCAGATGTGGGTGTTTCAGTGACGCTACTTGAAGCTGTTTTTAAAACACAGTCCCCTGTTTTAGTCAAAATGTAAGAGTGTGAACTAGAATGTAATGAGCTGCTCCAGTTAAAACGTTTAAGAGGGATCATGTTGAGTCACTAAGAAGAGAACAAGGGAGCGTGAGAGCCATATGAAAGATGCTGGTTTCTTACCCCATACTTGCATTGCCGTGAGGAGGCTCCATACTGGAAGCGGCACTGCTCGTCTGCATCGTACACCTGCCCCGGGGCCACTGTTGGGTACAGGAAGTCTCGTTTCAGAGGTTCATTGTCCAGACACGTCCCCCGACCTGAGCTGTCAAGAAAACAAACCTACAATAGGATTGTTTCTTACATAAATTAACCTTTCTGCACTGGCAGAGTTAGAAATGCCAAGATTGGGTGATTAAAGTCCCCCCTTCTTGTCCCTTTTTGGCTCGTGTAGTTTGACTCATTTAACTACCATTGTAGGAAGGTTGTCAATGATCCAAAATCACATGTAACTAATGCTGAGATAACACATCAACACCCCCTCATCAAAGGGAGTGTTGAAGCACAAGCAGAGACATTTTACCAAGGCGAAGAGGGCAGGCTGATCTGACACCAACCCTTTTTGATTATATGGCTCTGTGCTCCACTATTCTGTATATCTCTACTTATTCTGAGTCCATAGTGAAGCCAATAAAGTGACAGAGCATAAAAAGGAAGAGAAAAATCTGGAGTGAGCTATGGGTCATATGTCCAGGTCTAGGATTATGTTTAGTCTCTTTTGTCAGATAGAAATATGTGCATTCATACAGATCTCACACATGGCGCTTAGTGTTCTAGTAGCTAAAGAATAAAAATACACCAGCCAAGAAGCACAGAGAGTTTGTTTTGCTGAAGCAACTGCTGAACTCTGTATTGTTGTATAGATGTTATTCTGTGAGGACCAACACTCAAATCAACATTTGGTGTTATTCTGAACTAAGATTTCCCACATTGTCTGATAACCCCAGTGACAGGACATGGTGTCTCTCAGCTACACCCCCCTCCATGACCCTCTGCTGCCTACAGCCTCCTGTTGTTATTCCAGCTTCTCCACCCTGTGTTGTCAAAGTACGGTCTGTAAATCAGCCCCGCCTGCCGCCTAGCCAAGGTTAGAAGGGTTTTTCCAGCCAGTAGTCATGTCAAACAGCCATGGAGGAGCTCTGGGCAGCTAAAAGTCTGAACCAGCAGCTGTCAGAGTGAAGAGGTGGCGTCTTTAGCACAGAGAGAGTGGGACAAAGAAAGAGCAACAACCAGGGTTAACATGGGTTTGGCTGTTTGACATGGAGAGGGTTAAAAGCAGCCAGAGGACTCAGACTGGATCCAAATGTGGCCTTCTTCCTTCTGGATGTGTTAGTATCTAAAGCTAACCTGTTTGTTTTGGTAGCATTAGCCAGCTAGCATGATCAGGATTTTAACTTTGTGTTGAGTTAGTTTGGGAGTAACTGGACCTTTGTGTAACATCAATGCTTTGTGTCACATCAGCAGTAACCAGAGCGTTCTACTGGACTGACACGTTTACTGTTAGCCAGCTAACACTAGCTTCAGACTGGAGGCTGAGTATTGTACAGTTTGTCCCAACCAGGCATCTATAGTTCACTAGGATGTGATGGAAGGGGCAAAAAGCGGTTAGGAGAGGCTTTTGGTGTCAGTTTGTTTTGACTCTAGGCTGAAAAAAACTAGGCAGAGTAGCTTTAAACAGCACGAATGCACAATTAAATTTATAAACTTAATTTTTATTGTTGTTTTGTGATTCTGGAAGATTTAATGAAAACATAAATTTTAATTGTTAAACGATGGAGATTTGTCTAAATATCTCTTTCATATATGTAGTTTTTAATATTATTTAACAAATAAAAAGGAGACATGCTGTTTGTTTTCACCCCAGAGAGGCAAATAAAAGTACCTTCCTTCCATTTGTCCCTGCGCTTCCCTCTCATGTCTTTCTTCCTCTTGATTCTGTCTATTTTTGAGTACTTGGAATTTATTTATCAGGATGTGTGTGCGGTGCTTGTTCTCATGGTGTTATGCTGTCTGTTCCCTATTGCTGCTGAAACACTGAAATGTCCCCATTGAGGGATCAATAAAGTACTGTACCTACCTACCTACCTACCTCTCTCCATCCTCTGTTTTCAGGTACTGGATGGAATAATCATGAGAGAGAGCCTCTGAGGCACCCAGGGTCCCTGTGCACTATGTGCAAGCCTCACTATTTATTGGTTTGAAGAGACAAAATATTCAAAGTTTAAATATCTATATATACAGCTTCTAAGCTGTTATCTTACAATGTTGCAAAAGCTTCTTGACCGCTGAATTCAGCCAAATTCATTATGCTGAGTGGAAATATCCTCTACTAAGTGATGCCTGAATTCTGGCACCAGTCGTTCATGGAGATGTTAACCACCTTGACTGGATCCAACCAGTGGTGTGATGGCAGACTGATTAAATCAGACTAGCCTAACAGTTATCATAAGGCACAAGTCTCAAATCAAATTTATTAGAGCATGTGGTGTCTAAGTGTTTAATATACTCAAACTGAGCAGCTTTCAACATTTATAACAACCTGACAGTTCTGACATGGGAGAACTGAAATGAACTGAGTGCCTTCATCAACCATTATTAAAAAAAACCCAAACAATGCACTGCTTATTGCAAAAGCAAGACAGTGAATCTAGGCCAACACCGCATCCAAAGTTGTTTACTTGGCACGAGAAGCATGTGTGATGCCCAAACCTCTGACTGAGAGAGAGAAAGGGAGGATAATCAGAGTTTAGACAGGAAGCTTTTGTAAGAAACATAAAAACTAAAAGCAATAAAACTAAAACTAAACAGCAAAACTCCAGCAACAGACCGATACAAGTGGAGGTACAATAAACTAAGCAAGAAGTGATTCTGCTTAAAGTGAGGGTTTGGTGTTTTGTGTGTTACAGCACAGCTTTGGCCTCTTCAGATACTCAAGCCACAAATGGAGCATCCCAGAATTGGCTCTTTGTGTCTCAGCTGGAAGCTGGCATGTAACACTGTCATTGCAATCAGGGAACCAAACCTGTTGTAGCAGAAAAAGGATATTTAAGTAAATCTGGCTCCTGCTCGATTACAGTATGAGCCTCTTTCAGACAGTGATGCAGCCTGTGTTAAAGTCAGTAGAAGTGTCCTGATATGAACCTTCTGAACCTATTTTTGCCATCTTTCCTGTTCTCCTTCAGTTTAAACAGTCTGCTTTATACCCTATGAACGCTTGCACTGATATGGTGAAGGCGTTACATATCCAACAAACATGAATCAACATTAGCAAGCATTTGACCATCAAGCAGTCCATAATTCATTCACCTTTTAGCATTGTGTTATGTCTCCACCAGCCAGCCATAAGGGCTCTTTAGAAGCTACATGCGCTACTGGCTTGTCTGTGCTGTTTGGTGTTGGGCAGGTATGCAATCAATTTATCAGAGCTTTTTTGCTCAGCACAGCTGTCTCCTGCATCTGGAAACAATGCTGATAACCACTGAGAATGAACCAATATAGTGTAGTTGCAAAACCTAAACTTGTCTAGAACGGAGAGGAACTACAGAGTCAGTGATAAGTCTGTGGATTTGTCACTACAAGTGACCCCTTTCTTGTGCAGGGCTCTCCTGGAGTCAGCTAAAGAGTTTAAAGCCAAAAGAGCGAACACCTAGTCTAAATATATGATCACCCAAGAATACAAAATTGTTGATAAAATTGTGGATACAGGAATAAGATAGTAAGTAAAATGGGGAGTTTCAGATATTGCACATAGTGTAATTGTTTATGGTCTTCTACTTAGAAGGGTAATGAAGGGTTATTGCACAGGTTTTTCACATTTTGTATTTGCCTTCAGTCTTACTGCGGCAGGAAAAAGCTGTTGTAAAATCCCCTTTCACCTTATACACCATATTTTCTGGCACAGTTAATGTAAAAATGATTGATTTGAGCAGCTTTAACAACACAATGACTCACCCAGAGCAGAACAGGACATGTTAATTCTGTTGCTGTTGTATAATTTTGGTCTTGGAACAACTGTGCACTAGTTCTACAGTCAATGTGGCTCTTTGCTGTAGTTTAAAAACATCATAACATTGCTGCAAGCAAACAGTTTCAGAGTGTAGTGAAGGAATCCCTCACTCTCTGATGGTTAAAGAAGAGCAGCAACATGTTTCATCTGAGAGAACAATCCTGACCACTTTCTGATTGTTATAGCTGTTTCCCAGAGAAGGGGCATAATGCACTTCTCTAATTCACTTCTGAGCTCGGTCGATGAAGCGGTGTCAGTGATCAGCAGCCAGCAGCCTCACTGAGATCTATTAAAGATACTGTGTGAGGCCAGGCTGTTCATTGTTTAATCTCACACTCAGAGATGTTGTCCTGAATCCAACTGTTGTCCCCATTAGTGTCAGGAAAGGTTGAATTTAGCTTCACTTCTTCTAAAAACAGCTCCCATTCAGTGTGTGTATGTTGTGCATAAGCCTTTACAGGTGTGTGATTTAATTACAGCACTCTATAAACAGCTCTAGCTGTGTGTAACGCTCTTGTCTAAGGATGTCTGGGCTGGTGTTACTGTGCCAATGTGGCTATAAGACAAGATAAAGTATTTAGAAATCATTCTGATTGTTTGGTGAATGGTGACAGTTTTCATTTTGTGCACCTCTCACAGTTTCACACTCACTAAAACTGCGCTTCTTCCTTAGTGTTGCTTTCATTGCCGTGTCCAATAATGCATGGTTCACACAGCATTTTTCAGAGCAGACGATTGATTTAGGGTGTGTCTGCATCTATTTACGGCTAAAGGTGGTAGTGGAAAAGAAGCTTGTGCACCTAATTCAACGATGATTGAGATTTTAAAGAAAAGAACCAGGCGTATGTGTTTTTTATAAATCGGATGAAAACAATGCATACGCTCACTTCTGTCTTCGTGCATCCACACGGTTTTAGCCATTAATCTGCACAAAAATGTATGCATCTGGTTCCAGATGTTTTGTTTGACCAATCTCAGCACTAGAAAGCCATGAAACCTTTTTTTTTTTTTACCATGTCAATATGGCGGTCCCTTATTCTGCTTTACTCTCTAATTTATTTGTGTGCTCTAGGTTTTTGTTCTCTGTGCACAAGCAGTGCAGCAGTGGTTGAAGGCAGCTGGCCTACACCACCAGCGACCACATAAGCTCTAGCATGACTCGCCGTGTGGTGTGAGGATCCAAGAGTGGAAGGCACCCAGTTATCGTACACAGCCACAAGGAGGTCTGGCAGGAGTCTCAGTGATGAAGCAGATGTGAATTAGTGGCGAGGGACCTGCATACAAGACCGCCTAGCGGGTCACCACGAAGGCCAGCCAGTGGCGAGACATTTGCAAGCGAGTAGGAAAACAGGGATGCACTTTTTTTCTCTACGGCACACACAGAGGCAAAGTCCAAGCACACTCAGACAGCCCCAGAGCGAGCAACCATCATCCACTTACTCGAGAAAGCTGGTGATGTAGTCTTTACTGCAGACAGACCAGGAGAAAGGGTTGGTGTTGGCTGTTATGTGTGCGGCCATCAGTTTGGCTGTCTCGTGGCCTTTGGTACCGCAGGAATTCCCAATTCCATCATGGTTCATCCCAAAACTGAAGCACAGAAAATAAAAACTGGAATTAATGCAGTTAGGAATAATGGTCTGACCTCCAGTTAACTACACAGTGTAGATAGGAGTGGATAGTCCAGGCTGCTGACTGGAGGTCATCTCCCTCTGTGGATCTGGCTGTAAAGATCCAGCTCTGTGGCTCTGAAACAGCTGTGTGGAAGAGAGCCAAGGGTCAAGGGTCAAACCCTGTCTGGAACTGGATAGGAACAAAAAGTTTTAATCACCACTTTGCCTGTCAATCACCAGCAGCAGGTCTGAGCAGGTCATGAGGGAGCATCACCACCGACCCGGAGTGAAGCCCTTTAAATCAGTCGCTGCACCAGAAAACGGAGAGAGACCCAAACAACTGCTTGTTATCAAAGTTATTCGAGAAGCTTTATTTTGCATTGAGGGCTCAAAATAAATCATTTTATAAAGTCAATAATTCATCTTTTAAAAAACCGTATCTGTCTGGATAGTATTTGCCAGTAAATCTCCTGTCACAGCAGGATATCAGTGCTGCCTTTACCTTACAGTGTAGAAGCACAAATCAGGCCTAATGTACATACCAAACCCAACCACATCACACAGTCTGAACCTGTTTTTCTAAGGCGGCATTTATGACATTTTACCCTACTCTAGAAATAAATCACCCCAGTTAAAAACCCTGCTGCACTGTGGGTTTTTTAATGTCCTCTAGAAGCAGAGACTATTTTTACAACTGCCCCACAACAGAAGCAGACATGAGACATAGTAAAGGAAATGGCCATCTTGCTGAGGTCTCTCGAGAGGGATACGTAGACTAATAGATCATCATTATTGTGCTTTATATTCAGGAAGAAAGAGCCAGAGGTATGTGGACACTGACATTTGCATGAGGACATATGTGGAGGTACAGTTCAAGACGTCTGCTGGGGGGGTGGGTAGCTACATGTAGGTCTGGAGAACCCAAGTAATAAGTCATATCAGAGCAGTTATTAGAGCACACAGCCATGAAGGTGACAAAAAGTTTTAAGATGTAGCAAACATAGGAATCCTGTTTGCAAGAGTCAGAACTGAGTCCGGAATCTGACCAATGAAGACTTGTGACCAGTCATGTGAGGTTTTTTACATTTACACTGAAAAACTGCTTTTCTTTTCATGTAGCTAAGAAAGTTCCCTTTTGTATAGCGCCACCTGGAGTTTGCTTGAGCACAAGACCCTTGTAATGTGTCCACAGCCAGTCTAACGGCTATATGAAGCTATGCTAAGGATGTTTAGCACATATAACGTTTACTATGTTTACCACTGTATTTAGCACGATATAAAAAATACAGTTGAGGTAATATAATAATAACCTGAAAATATTCACATTTGAGAAACTGAAACCAGTGGATTTTGGAATTTCTGACAGTAATTCAAAGCAGGTTTGGTAAAATAACCTGCTTTGGTGTCTTCTTTGAGAGGTGGGGGCCTTTAACATATCTGTGCCCAGGGACCCCACTGTGTCATAATCCGTCCATGGTCCCACCACTGCTATTTGCATCAGAAAGTAATGACAAATTTTAGATTTTATACTAGGACTCACTTGTGGCCGATCTCGTGTGCAATGGTGAAAGCAGAACCGAGGCCGATGTCTTCATTGATGCTGCAGCTCCTCTCCGGTTCACACATTCCAGCCACCGAGGCCAAGCCTAGAAACAAAGACACACACACACCAGACAAACTGACAAATATAGGGTGAAGCATTCTGAAGAGTCATGGTCATAAAGTGGGGATTGCACACATATCGCATGTTCACCGTGGTGCTGACAGACAGTCTGAGCAAGTCGCCACTATAGATTCACCAGTGGAAGTTAGGCTGAGCATCACCTACTGGAGCACTTTTTATTGCTTACAAACTACAGCAACTGCTGGAAAATGTCTAGACAAGAGTTAGATTTATACATTTCAGTTCTTGTAACAACAGATCAAGTAGAACATGACCTAAGGAAGGGAACATAAGAACCCCCTGAAAAACAGTGCGCTCCACCTGGAACCTGTCAGAAAATATAGATGTTTTTGTCATTTTAAAAACTGGAGAACAACAGAGTGCGGAGAGACACAGAGAAAGGGAACGGAGAGGGTGTTTAAAGTTAAAACCGCTCCAAAATCCAGGTGTCCTTTTTTGCTAAAGCCTGACAGGTCAGATAGGAAGACTGGAGGCAGTTCTTCCCAGATTACATCTACAGGTGAGTGGAGAGTGGATCATATGACAGTGCAAAGCAGGTGTGTGTGTGTGTTGGGGGTTGTGCATTAATGCGTGTGAGGCAAAGAACATTTTAATTATATTGTTGTAAAGAGGCAGAGCTATAAAAATGCCTCACTTCACTTAATTTACAAAACACATGACTCACTTAGGTACATTTTTGTTTCATTTGAGATATTTCTAGATTTCTGCATGCTCTCCAACACAAGTGAAGAGAGCGGTATTTCCTTTGTGCACCTAAAAAGGTTCCACAGCACAGATATCCCTGGATTATAATACTAATCCATCCATATTTAGCATAAATTTTAACAAAATTTATAGGAAATTGGCAAAAAAAGATGTCAATTAACCTGCGTTTACTTCCACTACTGAGTGTGAGGTGTCAAGAGGAGAGTCAATAAAGCAACCATGTGGAAAATCTGATGGGAATATGACATTTATTTGTTTCAGATGTTAATGAGAGGACTGTTACAGTCTCCACAGAGATCTGTTGCTATTTGTCATTTTGCAAACTTGATAATGGTGAACATTGCACACTTGCATCTACACTTTGGCTTAAATCACCTTTTGATGGTCAGTGCTGCTTCAGACCTTCCTGCATAGATTGCATGAACTGTTAAAGTGCTAAAAGTGGCATGGCTTTTGTATCCTCTTCACTAAGAGGCCAAACAAGAATAGACTCGCAAATCAGGAGGCCACTGACACCATTACTGCAGGGAGAGAGGGAGCCTGAAGGTGAAGAAAGAAGGAGAGAGGGAGGGAAAGGAAGGGAGGCTACTCTACGATTAGTTTAAGAATGTGTGTGTGTTAGAGAGAGTAAAGTGTGTGTGTCTGTGTGTGGGTCATGGGTGAGCGCAAACACACACATCGCATTGCAAGTTGTTTTCTTAACACCAGGGAGGACTGTGTATTATCTCCAGGCTCGTGATTACTCCGTGACCCTTAAGGCCACAGATCTGACCTGGGAGCATGATCCCCGAGAGGAGAGGGAAGGGAGGTGAGGTGCAGAGGGGGAGGATGGAGTGAGACAGTGAGGAAGCTAAGCAGATGCCAGGGCAATTAAAGCGACCGGGGAATGTGACGAATGCGGTCAGTCTGTCAAACCACCCCTGAAGTCACAATATTACCTCCAAGATATACTGTGGTGCCTGCGGGGCCTTTACAAAGATAAGATGGGGAGAGAAGAAGGGCTGGGAGGTAAGAGGTTTGGGGTTGGATGGGGGGCCGAGGGGGAGTGTGTGTCTTTCTGCCACTGCTTGCTGTCCTTTTCCAAACCCAATACTGCTACAACCAGCATTATCACCCACTCTGTCTCCTCTCCTGCATTCTCTAACACTCCCTGTAATTGTCCTTTTCCCCTTCCATTTTCCTTTCAACTCCTCCTCTCCTTCTCTATCTCCCCCCACCTAAGTCTCCCTCCTCAGCTTTCCAACACATACCTTTTCCTTTCTCTCTCTGGTCCCTGGTGGAAGTGTAAACACCTTAAACAAACCGAGGTGAGAAGCGGAGGAGGTGACCATGGCTGTCCAGGTTCAGGGCTCCTGGCCTTAGCTAACAGACTAGAGACACTGAGGAGCTATAATAACACACATGAAAACATCCCTCACCCTTTTCAAAGATGCAGTGACACCCTGAACTTATCTAGACGTTACCTGGAGGAGCTGTATGTGCAAATGCCCAAGTCATTTGGCCCGGACATTAAACAGATTTTACCCTGTTGGCTCCTGAATACAAAGCCCGTGTAACGTCCGAGTGAACCCGTGTGTGAATACATATTGTCTGGAGTATTCACACCAAGCTAGTGGGTGTGTTGATGACTTTACATCATGTAACTGATGCAAAACCAGTAGAATACAAGCATCTGTTGGTGAAGAAAAACAGACATTTACACAAAGACACCATGATGAGATTCAGGGACTTCTGTTGTTAAGGGCAATGCTGAAATCGCCTGACAAATTCAAAGAACGGCAAGAGACTCATCAAATTACAAACCAGCTACGTGACCGCGTCATGTCCTGCCTTGTGTGCTACATATGTGAAAACAGCTACAGCCACAGTCTGGTGTTCTTCTAAAGGAGCCTGTGAGGGTTGCTCAATAAGGTTTGTCTGAGGGCAAAGGTGAAAATAAAAACCTCTCCAGAGGAAGACTTAAATCCTAAACCTGAGAATCATATAGTCACCTGCAGCTAAAATGACCAATTAGGCAAGAAAATACATGTTAGCATAAGCTTTACTCTTTTTAACCCACTCACCTAAGGTACCACAGGGTTTGTTCTTGTAGGTGCAGATATCGTACCTGCAAAAAAAGGGAAATATAAATAAACATTTAAATTGATTCTACATTTTTTTACAGTATTTTCCTCGACATTCTTTCAGTGTTTAGTGGGATATAACCTCAATAGCATCTAATGAAGTCATGAAAACACCTGGTTCATTCATCCATCTATAGCCTGAGCCTTTTGCAAAATGCCACCCAGCAACACGCGGAGGTCAGACATAAATATGATTTAAGTGAAATGCTTCGGTCGTGCTGTGTCACTGCTGTTAACTCACATACAATCCAACAGAGCGGAGAAAAACGAAGACGCAACATACATTTCAAATGAGCGATCCAGTCCTTCCTAAAGCTTTCAATCTCTTAAAACCAAGGGCACAGCTAATTTAATTTCTTTCTGCCTCCCTCCCTTCTTTTCTCTCACCACAAGCTCCTCTTCCCTCCTTCACAGTGGAGCGGCTCCAACCCGCTGAGGTACAATCATGACCTCGTTTAGGAAGGAAGCCTATTTATTTTGATTTGTTTCCCTGATTTCGTGACAGGCCACATTCCAAACAAGGCAGAATGCTATCCGACACAGAGACTGACGAAGAAGCAGCGGAGCTGTAGGTCACTTTTATGATGAGCAGAGACAGTGTCAGCCTCTTGTGAACCAGATTGTAACAACAGACCACGAAGGGCTCAGTCCCTGTGATAATATCACTATATTTGTCAAATTATACCTTCATTTATGTGTTTGGATGAATTACAAAGTTGGAATTGGCTTGATGTCTGATCTTTTTACTTTTAAAGTTTACATAAAAGCTTTTACATTATTTTTCACAAGTCTACTATCAGCAGCGTGAGCAACAACCAAAAGAAACATGTCTAAAGTACACGAATCTGCACTGGATCATTATTGTGGGTGTGTGAGCAAACTGTCTTCAGATATGAGCTTGAAACTTACCGGGTGATTAGGACAGCGTTGTCATGATGAGCCATCCCGTTTTCAGGAATACTATTGCCATCGCCGTGGTGAGACAGGATGGACTTCTGCCACTTACAGAAACTGTCCAGAGACTTGTCAGCATGGTGGTTAATCTCCAGGTTTGGCTGCAAAGACAACACAACACTGTATCGCGTCATGTCAAGTAGTGTCGTGTTGTCGTTTTGTGCCGTCATGTTTTTTGGATTATCATTATTATGATTAGTCTGGTATTGTATCATTTGTGTTGGATTTTAATGATCCAGGAACTTTTTTACGGATTCTCCACCATTGTGAGATAGGGCCAGCTTCAGTATGTTTGCTTCTAACGTCACACACAATGTTTGGACAAAAATTGCACAATAACATCCCCACAGTATCTACCACACACCAAAGTCTGGTCTGGATCCAAGTAATAATCCAGGTCTGCTGATCCAGAATGCTCACAGAAAACCGGCTGCTGTGAGACAAAGCTACAGACTCGCAACTACGGTCAGAACCTAGCTGACACTCTGCTGCCTCAGTAGGTGTCAACAGATCTGACATATCTTCAAAAGTTACTGAGCTACATCCTGAAGAAAACAGCCATTAGTGAAATATCATTTTTCTTGTATAACTTTCAAACTAATAATGATATCAGTGTGATTCCAAATGTTAGAGGTTGGTTTCATGGTCAAAGATTCATATTATGAAGGTCACACTGTCATGGGAATATTGCTTTTAGGTGCAATGGCATTATGGGAAACTCAGGTTTGTACTCTGAGTGCCGTCTAGTTCAGCATTGCATCTGTAGGGTGTCTTGTCATATTGTATCATTTTGTTTTGTATCATATCACGTCTTGAAGTATCATATCATACTGTGAAGTGGTTTGACATATTATTGTGTCGGATTGCGTCTTGTCCTATATGCGGTCCTGTATAACATTACCGTGCAACTTGAAAAGATCCTTTTCATGGTGAATATGTGTGCACTAATTAAAAGCAGCTGGAATATTGCTTAAGCAGTACATTACGTTCCCACAACCTTCCTGGTTTGATTACAGCCAGAGACCTTTGCTGCATGTCTCTCTCCCCTCCTCTCCTGTCTGTCTCTTCTGTCTACTGCCCACTGAAGACATAAATGCAGCAAATGACCCTAAACTTAATGCCATGCTTTCACAGTGCTAACCGGTGAGTGAGCAAGCCTGTAGAGTAGAACAATTATTGGGATGAATTATTTGGAGGAGTACTGTGCTAGGATCAGACGGAGGTTAAAGGACCCATTTTTTGAAAAGAACAATGTGTATTTGATTTAAAAGTAGATGCAGTTGTAGTAAAGGTAAAATAATTGATAGCAGGGAGACTTAGACAAGTCAAAGAGGGAGTAGAGCACAACAAGGACTTGCATAATAAGAAAAAGCTGGAGAAATGGAAGCAGTAGGACTAGCTGGGGAAGTTGTGTAGAGTCTGCAGAACACATCGACTTCCATTAATCATTATCCTACAGTAAACTATTATACCGCCAGCGGGGATGCAGAGCTGATTTCAGTTTGCCCGGTGAATAAATACAACACAGTACTGGACAACACATCACTGATTCACTTTCACCATGAATGTTGTTTTGTAAAGGTGTTTTCTGTTCAGTTTATCCAAAACATCTGATAGACAAGTACTTCTTCCTACTGGATCAAAGTGTGGCTCCACTTTACATGAAAACTTGCTTTTTGGACCCGATGCTACATGAAGACCCTTTAGAAAAAACAGATGCTAGGAAGACGCTCTGTTTCTCCCATCACACACACACGGTGCATGTAAAAACCCTCAATCAAGGCTCCCAGAGGGAAGATACCACAGCACATCTTTCATCTGAAGTGGCGGCCATATGGTGAATAGTCTCTGTTCTCTTTCCACTTCAGCCACGACAATCGCATAAAATACTGCAGCCCGCTCACGCCAAGCATATCAGTTTTATACTCACTACAGGTAAGAGTACACATACTATAAAAACAGGGCTCATGGTAATAAACAAGGTAATACTGCATTGACAGTTCAAAGTCAGTTAAATTAATTCTCAAGACAGTGACACAGAGAAGAGGTTTTCTTACCTGATCTTCAGTCAGAACAATCAGCCGGGTCACAATAATGTTCACAACATTTCCTAGACTGGCATCACGGTAAAGTTTGGCAACCTGACCTCCAGAAAAGAAGAAAAGACACAAAGTCAGACAAATTATGTCCATGTGTCACAGCACATGCGTATCCACTAAGAAGAAAATGTACATGCAAAAGTACAGCAGACAAACAATGTGACCAAAAAGTAGGATCAAACTTACAATATTCATTACAGACAAGATGTAGTGCTCAATGTCTTTGCGTCCGTGGTAACCGACCATCATTTTATCAGCGACCACCAGTGTCTCCACAAAGCGCTCAGTGCTGATGGAGCGCCTCTGCCGGTGGGTGCTGTTCGACTGCTCGCTCTCGTTGTGGGGGGCAGGGGAGGGTGTGCTAAACTGACAGGGTGCACTGTTTTTAATGAGGTCTATGAATGACAGGGAGAAAAAGGTTGTAGTGAATAAAGAAGTAACATTCGCATCACAATTAAGATGCATCATCTTTTTGAGAGAGCTGGTTGGCGTGTGATAGATGCACAGAGGGACTCTGCCCCTCTGAACCCTGCAGCTTAAGCCTTTGCTTTATAACCTGGGAAGAAGCTAGAAGATGGTACATGTCAGGGCATGTGAGTTTCCTGCCGATGACAGCCCTTGCTGTTTCTTATAAGACCTTGGCCCAAATACCTAAATATCCACCTGGTTCTCTTTCCAATTCGTCATGTCTCAACAGACAGAGTATTTGAGGGAACTGAGTTGTCTAAATTTTTAAATCTGAATGATTGTTGGTTCCATAAATAGGATTTGTGCCCCTGTAAAAGTCAGAACCAAGTGGCCTTTATGCACTGAAGGGCCTTTCATGAAAGCTGGAGCGAGCCTTTCTCTTACAGGTTGAAAGGTGTCCAGGCCAGGAGCAACTATAGCACACAAGAGGCCCCCAGAACCCGGCCCTAGAACCAAACCAGCACTTCCTCTAACCTGCTATGTATAGTTATTCATTTACGTCAGTCCCACCCACACAGAGTCCAACCCAAATGGAGGTTCACCAACCTGAAATGCCACAGCTGAACTCCTGGCTATGCTCTTGTGGTGAGGCAATGGCAGACATTTTATAAATAACATGTTGCTGCACTCCTTCCAGGTCCCATTCACTGGAGGTGGTGGAGGATATGTTCTGTAATGGCTCTATTAAATACTGTTCTTCCTCTGTTGTTATAACTCCGTGCTTGTTGGGAAAGAGGATCGGGAAAAGAAACATGTTACAAACACAAGCAAACACTGATACTAAATGAACAAATGAAGAAAAAGGCAGGAGGGAAAACCTACTGTTTCGTTTTGTTTGTTTGTTTTTACTGTTTTGTGTACTTCCACTCAGCTATTTTGAACTATACAGTACGCAAAGCAAATTTTACAGCTGGCATGAATGTATAGAAAGTCATAATGTAATAGTGAATAGAGAGCTGAAATGAAACAAAAAAATCCTATTGTACCGACACTAATAAGTAAAAACCCAGCTTTGGAACTGAGCCTTTCTCAGCAGCATGCCGTATGGCTCGCTCCACTTGTTTCAAAAGAGAATCCCAAGAGACATGCTTCATTTTTCAGAAAGCCCAAAGAACAAAGGGGAAAATGTTGAATGAGCGGTCGCACTGAGTTACAGAAGCTAGTGCAGCTGAAGCTCGACCCAACATGACATCAGGACTTGGGCTCTTTATTGAAGGATGTGATTAGATTTCCCCTGGGCAGCGCAAATTCTCTCAAAGATGTAACCATTCAAGTTTTTTAATTTGTGCGGGAAACTTGCATTAATGAATCTGTATCTGCATATATTTTTACTTATTTTGTCTCCTGCAAGCCTCCCAACTATGTGGACGGGCACTACTAAAGAGCTGGAGTGGCCCTTTAAATTGGCCTCTTCCTGATGGCCTCATGTTTTAGCACATACAATATATTAATCACTAGTCTGCAGTCAAATTAAAAACTCCAAACAATCAATTACAAGCCCAACATTAAAAACATTGTTCTCTGCTATTTAACACCCTCCATGGAGCAACAACTGAGAAGACTCAGAGTTTGCAGAAAGCTCTGACTTGGCTCTGTAAAACAATGAAAGTAATTAACCACACATGACATTAGCAAGCAGAAACATTTTCACGTTGGGGTTTTATTAGTATGTGATGCCAAGATCTGTCCAGACAGCTGATTGATGACATTGAAGTTCAGACCCAGCTTTGTCCATTTTTGGTGTTGTTAGAAAAAAGGGCAAACACTAATTCAATTTATGATACTCGGAGCAGGTCTTGCCAACACCTTTAGCTGCATGTTTTCTCAACATGATTCCATTTGCCAATAAGAAACAGGGCCTTCTTTTCCATCTTTAGAGTTATTCTGAAGCAAAACAGGTAACAAAATGTTCTGCCAATTCCTTGATGTGCAAAGAGAAAGTGGACAGTGACACAGTCTGTCAGTCAAAGCATGAAGACTGAAGGCTTGGACAGGATAATAAGATGTGATGCTAGGGCTGTTCAGTTTTGTTTTATAACAGAGCCTTGTAACTGTTAAACACAGTACTTTACAGATCACAAAAAGGATCAGCTAAAGGAACGTCTGTTATCATTTGAGGATAAAGTGTCAGATTTAATGCACAAATGGAAAGAAGAGGGTGTGACTTTTTCTACATGAGCATCATTTCACTCCAAGCTGCCTGTAGACCCAGTGTGCCAAGTGGGGAGAGGCCAAGACTCTGTTAGCAAACTACACTTTGTCTAATCCTCTGGCTGTGTCTCTGAGAGATTGGCTGGCACTAGCACAGCACAAGCTAGGTGTATATTCTGACCTTAGTATTAAGGTTCATTTGAGGTAAACAGTGTGGCTCAAAGGCCTAGTAGAGTGTGAGAGCTGGTCACAAAAGGCTGCTTTGTACTCACCAAGCCCTTGCAGTTGCTGACTGCCACTCTGGTCATGTTGTGCTGATTTTGCAAGAATCCAACATAGTGACAGTTATCTACCATGTTATGACGCCACTCCGGCCCTTCTTTGCCCCAGTACTCCACTGTAAAATGTTTCGACACCAGGTGGGGGTTGAGTGTCAGGTTTAAGTGAAAGTGCTTCCCATAGGCTGACAGACGGTAGAACAGCCGAGGCTCCGGAGGCTCTGGATCTAAGGCAGGCACTGGTCCCATTATGGGGTCCGCCGCACCCCGTCTCCTTCGGCCCGGCCGGTGGTGCTTCACAGTGTAGCTCAGGAACTCTCCGTTCTCATCCACCTGCACTGGGACAGTCAGCTGGTAGTGCTGCAGGTAGGACAGGAACTCCTCTTTTACAGGAGAAAGAAAAGAAGATGTTACAGTGAACATACTCTCGGTTACAACACAGGCTTTGCATCTTTCTGTCCACCTGTCTACATCGTACCTTGAGAGTTGTAGGAAAGTCTGTTGATGCTTTGAAACTCAGAAGCAGCCATCACCACCAGGCTCAGTGTCCAAGTCAGCGTCTTCCACAAAATTTCCATAATTCAGGGCAAGATGTGACATGGGGTTGGGGGCAGAGGGTGCTACAGAGAGGCTAAAAGCACACGATCGCTCCGATGCAACACCATAACAAGTCCATGGTTTGTCTCCTTCACGTAAATGTTCTCGTTGTGCTCCTCCGGGTTTCAGAGTTTTCCTGAAGGCGAGACCTTCCACATCTCACAGCTTAATCCATTAGACGGTCACTCTCAGGTGTAACTCCAAAGAGGAAGAGCTATACTGGGAACTTGTCCTGACCAATCCATCTGCATTCCTGTGGAGGAAGTCAGTGAGGGGCTGAATGATCTTTTGTTTCTTGGAATTATTGCTCAAGCATATTGCCATTTTGATTATTCTAATAACCAGTTCCAATTTTCTAAAGCAAAAATGCCACATACTCTTAGTTTCCAGCTTCTCAGTTGTGAGGATCTGCTGCTTTTCTGTATTTTTGAATATATTTGGACAAAACCAGAGATTTTAAAGATGTCTGGCTATTTGCTGCCATTTAGACCAAACAACAATGGGAATAAACATCTGGGTTGCAACTAAGAATTATGTTTATTAGTAATGAATCTACCAATGATTTTCTCAACTAACTGATTCATCCTTTTGAGTACTCTCCAGATTTCTTGACCTGAAATTGTTCAGTTGCCAACAAGCCATCAATAGGCAGCAAATCCTCACATTTGTGAAGCTGGATTTTGCTTTGAAAAAGGCTGGAACAATCCGCTATCAAAATAAATGTTCTGTCATCAAGCAGTACTGCAGCTTTAAAGAAATAGCCATTATTCCTGGCTCTAGTCTGTAGTAATGTAATTAAAACCCGATACAAAGTTCTTTAACACTGAGCAGGGTCCTGTCACTCAATATATCGTTTAACTTGAACATTTTATTTGACACTTAATTGGCAAATTGCCAGTAGCAGCACTAATTTAAGTTATGTTTCTGCGAAGTGACGCTGCGTTATTAATTGGATACTGATGTCCTTAAAACGCAAGATGAAGAGAACGAGACTATATGGTGCAATTGAAGCGTAACATCGGTAAGAAGGATGCATACATCTTCACGGTGCTGACTGGTCGACGTGAAATAATCTCAGCAGATCGTGGTTTTACTCGCTGCTTTTACGCACAGCATGTGCAAACTAGCTGACTATAAACACACCTCAGCGGATCCAAGCAAAAGAGGAGTGAACGGACTCCGGATGACCGCCTTTGGAAACGAGGTGCGTATTTCTTCAGCTCTAGAGCTCCAGCGGTCCAGACAGACAGCGCTACCTACTTGGCCGCTCTGACCCAGACAGTTGGCAGCCGGCCCGTGTGCACACACCGGTGCCTCAAATACAAGCCTGCAGGAGCGGCAACTCAAAATAAACCACGGCTTTCTTGCAAAAGGCGTGAACCACAAAAGGTTTTGTTAGTTTGAACAACCCGATGCGAAATACAAACGTAAAACTGTGCAAAATGTACACTCTGCAAGTGTAGATACAGTGCGTAAATGTTTCCAAAACTGCACTTTTTCCATGCAAATGCCATCAAGAAACCTTGCCTGAACTCTTGAAATCTGAGCAGAACAGGACAACTACTGGTTTGTAAGCACTGTCCCTGGGAGGGTTTAAATGCCCACTCGACAAAAACTGCCTGAAAGTTATCGTGCTATCCTCAACAGTCGAGGGTGTTAGGGAGATATTTACCACGCTCATCTTCATTGTCAGCTCCGGTCCAACTGTGCAGGGAGAGCTCAGGACAAAAGACTCTGAGGTTCCGCACACAGTCCTCCTCTGCTCTCCTATTTTCATCTCCTTTCGGACTCTGTCATCCTGTGAAACTGCAGTCTCCCCTTCAGACCAGCAGCAGTATCTCAGAGCAGACACTGTCACAAAGAAGGCAGCTTTTCAAAGGCTTTCTTGGATTCCCTCCAGCAGCAGAAGTGTCTACTTCTAGTCTATCTGGCGTCTTTATAATTTTATAACTTTGTGTTCTTGGTGGTGGTGGCTCAGAGCGGCCTTTAAAAAGTTAGCTGAGGTTGCAGAGGGTTTTCTGCCACCTCGCAAACCGCCACAGCAGACGTGCTTTGGAGCGGAGTGCATGCAAACACCAGCAGAGCTTTGGTTGGAGCTGCTCCTCCTCACTACAGACAGACACCGGGTATGTCCCAGTCCCGGACAGCTACATTTTGGCAGCTTTTTCATTGGGGAGGAGGGGTGGGAGTGACGTCAGTGCAGATGTGCCTCTTCCATCAGCTCTGCGCATGTCCGTCACTGGTGCCCCGAAATAACAGCTCTCGGGGCAATATTCGCCTAAATTTCACATCATGTACTTAATTAAAAGCATCAAAACCTCATTATAAAATACTCAGTGGCGGAAGAAGTGCTCAGATTATTTACTCAAGCAAGAGTATCAATACCAAAGTGTAAAAATACTCTATTACAAGTAAGAGTCCTGAATTCAAAATGTTACTTAAGTAAAACTACAAAAGTATTAGCACCGGAATGTACTTGAAGTACCGAAAGTAATAGCAGTCGTGGCACATTTCACGTTAATGTATGTTATATTAGGCTATTGGATTATAATTATTGATGTATTATTGTGTAGCTTGTAAGTTTTCCCACCAGGATCAATAAAGTTTGATGATTATACTGTACTTATTTGATTGTGTATCAAATACATGTAGTACAGTAAAAAGTACAAGATTTGCCTCTAAAATGTGGGAAAATCTGAATATGAAGCAGAAAACTGAAATGCTGTAAAATTGTAATTACAGTACTTGAGTAAATGTACTTGGTTACTTTCCACCACTGTTTCAAGTCCTGTACTTTGCTTGTGTAGTTTCTTTTCATGCAGCTTTATACTTCTGACAGCTGTAGTAAGCAGGACTCAGAAGATTAAGATTTAAATTAATGCATTAAACAACAGGATTTAATGCTCTGGTATAAATCACATGGTTAGAGCTTACATCTATCTTTAGTCTGTTGGAAACTGAGACTCATGCCTATTCCCGAGTTGCAGTTACAGCCACTCATTATGTAGGAGCCGGCATCATTAGAGTCAGGTTGTCATTACTCCTGACAGCCCGAGGAGGTGCAGCCAGTCTGTGGGACGCAGCGCCACCGTGTGTGTGCCAGGAGCATAGCAAGGGTGTGAAACTCGGGAATGTTCAGGTGCTTTTGTTTGATATTTGCAGAAGAAAAACATGGTTGTGTAGTCACTAAATTACAGTTAACTCTTAGACCTGTGTAATCTGCATTTTCAAGGTGAATCCAGCTCAGACTGCTCTGTTACTGTGAACCAGGTCAAGGTGTGTCAGCCGCACAGTTAATAATGTATATACACACACAATAAAAGTGTGTGTCTTACCACCTTTGGTTAGCGGCAGAAGCTGTATTATGATCCATTACTGTACTTCAGTAAAAGTTGAAATACCACTCTGTACAATTCCTTTGTTGCAAGCAAAAGTATGAAAGTACAATTAGCAAAATTGACTTTACTAGTATAAGTAGGCAGGCTAAATTGTTCTGTCTGGGTTATACCACTGGACAGTTAATGCTGATGCATTGTTATGTGAGCATAATTTTAATGTAGTTGGCAGAGATGGAGGTGATTCTGGCTGGTTTATATACTACTGGTGGTTTAGTTTACAGCAAAGCATCATATCAGGATGTCCCAATAGTTCCCTAAAAAGCCTCCAGTTAATCCAAAATGCTGCAGCCAGAGTACTGACAGGAACTAGCAAGAGAGATCATATCTCTCCCATATTAGCTTCTCTCCACTGGCTCCCTGTAAAATTCAGAATAGAATTTAAAATCCTTCTCCTAACATACAAAGCCCTTAATGACAAGGCTCCATCATATCTTAAAGACCTCATAGAGCCTTATCATCCTAACAGAGCACTTCACTCTCA